AGAGACCCCAAGACTTCCAAGACCTCCACTGATGCAACATGTATCAACCCTCGTATTATGACTCGTCAAATTCATCAAGCCAAGAGAAACTCCGCTGGCACTGCCACGATGCCAAGGCGCTGAAGTTGTTCGAGACACCGAGTGTCTTGGCGTGAGCTTACCCCTAAACCTTAGATCGGAGGAAGATTCTTGTCGCTTATCTGATCTTCAACTTGAGCCCTACCATCAGAGCCCTACATCGAGTTACCTTGGCCAGTCTTGACTGACCTCGATCCAACCACACAAAATGACAATCCTCGAAGACCCTCTAAACCTCAACCAATACAAAACAACTATATCCGAACCAAAAAAGAACTGGGTCCCGTACTCTTTCAATGATGACAAGGAAAAACTCACGGACTTCTACAAAGGTCAAAATGAAATGATCGAAGGCTTCCTCACGGCTGGCGAGGAAGAGCGCCTCAAAGCCGAAGACGAAGCCCAAAACGGCGGCAAAGTAAAGCTTGCCGTGCGCGCCAGTTTCACAGTCAACTTCTTCCTCTTCGTGATCCAGCTCTATGCAGCCGTGACAACTGGCTCTTTAGCCCTCTTCGCCACAGCCGCAGATGCCTTCATGGATCTCGTCTCCTCGGTTGTTATGCTAGTCACGTCACGTATGTCCTCACGCCCAAAGCCATACAAATACCCCGTTGGACGACGTCGCGTTGAAACAATGGGAGTGATCATGTTCTGTGCGTTGATGACTATCGTGGCGGTGGAGTTGATCATTGAATCGGCCAAGGCTCTTGCAGCGGGCGAAACTGAGTCCGAGCAGTTGGACATTGTGCCGCTGGTCTGTGTGGGTGTTGCTATCTTCTCCAAGTTCGTCATGTTCTTGTACTGTTATGGCTTGCGTCGATACCCGGCTGCTCATGTCTTTTACATCGATCACCGCAATGATCTGGCTGTTAATGGGTTTGGGTTGATCATGTCGATTGTGGGTGACCGATTTGTTTGGTATCTTGATCCTGTGGGCGCGTGTTGCATTGCCCTGCTTATCTTGTTCTCATGGGCATCGACTGCATTTGAGAATATGTGGCTGATTGTGGGCAAATGTGCCCCGCGCGAATTTGTGAATAAGTGTATCTATGTGACACTGACTCACGACCAGAGGATTCAGAAGGTGGATACGGTGAGTTGTGAAGTGGTTTGTGTGAATTGAGTATTGGGCATTTTGGCTAATGGTACATAGTGTCGCGCTTATCATTCCGGACAGCAACTCTATGTTGAGGTTGATATTGTCATGGACCCTGAGACTAAGCTTCGGGAGTCTCACGATGTAAGCCAAGCGCTGCAGCGGAAGTTGGAAGGCCTCGCGGATGTCGAGCGAGCCTTTGTGCATGTCGATTATGATTATCTGCATGATGTCAACGAGGAACACAGGCCGCTTTATGAGATTGGTGGAACGAAACACTCCATCAGAGCGTTGGTGAAACGATTATGGTCTAAAAACAAGAAGGAGGCAGACGGGACTGCTGTGTGAGAAGCCTGGATTATATCACGGTTGAGCGGGTCTCCAATGTATCGGAATGACATATGGCCACAGACCAAATTTAGCAAAAAAAAATTAATATCATTATCGGCTTTATTAATGCCGAAAGTAGTTTCTCAATCGCAGGGTAATTTGGTATTAGACATAAAAGCAAAACCTGGTATCAACACAGCCCGGACTATTCAAAACGGAATTTCAAAACATGATATCCATCGAACACATGCAGACTAAAGGGCAGCGTTTCTCTTCTTGGTCTTTGCAAACATGCCGTATGGCTTGACACTAAAAGCGCCATTGAAATTCTTACCTTCCATATCAAATGTATACTCCTTATCCGCCAACTCAAAATCAACATCCTTAATGATGCGAATGAGCACATGCAGCGACCATTCCCAAGCATACCGCTGACCGTAACACTCACGCTTCCCGTTTCCGAACCCCTTCTTCACACCGACTGGGAGTCGGTCAAAGGCCTCACCGAGCATGCGCTCGGGCTTGAAAGCATTGGGGTCATCAAACACAGCAGGGTCACGGTTCACGGCGGACAGGATTGCAATCAGGGGTTGGGTCTTGGAAATCTCGTATTCTCCTCCACCGAGTAGGACGGGACCATCGGTGGGCAAAGGCTCGATGTTGAAACCTGGGGCTGGGGCGCAGAGACGGAAGGATTCGAGGAGGATGGCTTCGCAGTAGGGCAATTGCGACAGGTGGAAGTGTTCGATTTGGCCAGAGGGACTGATGAGGGCGTCAATTTCCTGACGGGCACGGGTGGTCTCGTCTGGGTTTTTGGCGAGATAGTACAGAGTGAAAGAGACGAGATTCGGGGCTGTGGCACTGCCGATGAAAATGTTGATGATCTCGTCGATGACCTGGCTGTCTGGAAGGGATTCTCCGGTTTTCGGGTCCTTTTCATGAAGTAGGGCGTTTAGCAAATCCCTCCGTTCTACAGGATTATTACGTCGCTTAGCGATAATCTGGGCGCAATAGTCACGACAAATCTTGATATCCTTGTCAAATGTACTCTGGTACAAGAGCCGATTGAGGAGCTTAGGTCGCGTGGGCCGACGCATGGCTTCGAAAGTCGCGTCTGACATAGCTTTGATAACAGCAGGTTCTTCGCCGAGGACGCAATCTATATGCTGACTGAGAAAGCATTTCATGTTGGCGGCGTGGTTGAGTCGGTCCAAGTCATTACAGACATCCAAACGCTGGCCAGTGCTGTCCGTTGAAGTCCATTTCCAGATTAAGTCGTCCGTTGTGAGTTGTATATCTGTGTGCATTTCCTTGATGGCGTCGGGCAAAACGAAAGGAGCCATGATACGATGCGCGATGCCCCAGCTTTCCTCGTAGTCAAACGCAGTGAAGAGACTGTCGTGGGCAAGACGGCGGATCTCGACAATAGGACCGGTGACGCATTTTCGGAAGCGCTTCTCATCACAAATTTCCTCGAGGAGAGCCGCGTTTGTGATGAAGACAAGTTGCTTGGTGAGAATTTTGATTTTGAAAATCCCAGCACTGCCGTGTTCTGCTGCCAGCTTATTCAAAGAAGCCCAGGTATTGCCAGGGATCATATCAAAGATATTTCCAAGAATTGGAAGCCCCTGGGGCTGAGGGATAGGTGAAGGCATAGCGTGGACACACCGGAGAGTGATTGAGATGATGATCTTTCGAAATATAATGGCAAACCACTTTCATTTATCAATAAGATAGGAGAACTCATCACAAGTGCCAAGAATGCACAAGCTAGGAGGTCGCAGCAAGTTCTAGTGCCACATGGCTGAAATGCCAACCACCTGAATGGTCCATTAGCTTTGTGACTTTGTGACGAGCTTGAGTATCCCGTATCGTCATCCAATTGGACGAGATGGGATTGTCAGGAACTCGAGAAGGTGCAGCTGAGCTGCAGAATAATTATATACCCCGCATACCCACATAATATGTGATACGTGTGGTATGTGATAATGTGATAATGTGATAACAGATAGCTGCATGTAGCGGAATTCTAGGCTACGGTCGCGATTTTCCCGATCGGAGTGCTGCTTTATAAGGGCTAGACTTCAGCTCACTGCCTAGGTGAGTATTTCACGGGCAGCACAGTGTGATTACTCCGTGACCACCTGCACTTGGGCATCTAACTAATTATATTTAGTAAGCAGTCAGATGATTCACGAACGCAGTGAATCCATCCCTACATAGATGCTCAGCTAGTAATATCCTGAGGTTATCCCCAGTCAGGTGTGTCCACCTAAAACATGGTGATACAAGAGACGCCAAAGAATTTCAACGCATCATCTGGCTTTTTTCGAGCTCGGCCAAGATTAGTTAAACAAGCAGAGGTGAGTATTGGGTTGGAGTTGTCTCGCAACTTCAAGTAGTTGACAGGACAAATGATGACATAATAGAGCGGACATCCCGGAAGAGGCCTCGGAAGTCAACCTTCTCCCTTTCCAGTTGCTCGCAGAATGATGTTCTCATTTCATATGGAAAATTCTCCAGAAAAGACGAGAGGACCAAAACCGAAACGTCTCAAGATCAGCATCGCATGTAACGTTTGTAAAGCCAAGAAAACAAAATGCGATGGTTCTAGACCAGGTAAGCGAATCAACAAATTCGACAGGGTGCGATCGACACTGTGCTCATATTTGTCATGTTAGTATGCGGGCCTTGCTCAAAAAGGAAACAAAGTACCCAAGCATGTATATACCGCGAGACTGACCGAGTCTCTCCCTCATCAAATGTGCAGTAAGTAATGGGAATAGACTCACCCCTAAAACATGTAACAACCAAGCCTCTCATTATGCTTGCTGTGTGGTTCACTAGTCGTGGTCCATTAAATACAGATTAGCTTACATGCTGAGCAATATACAGTTCAGATACTGCCCGAGAGAAGGCTACAATCGACAACGTCTTCCATAACACCGAACAGCCAAGACGCAGAAGCGAATGTTCAAACAATTTGTCTCAAAATGAAGATAATGATGAAGCTAGCTTGTACAGTGGAATCGTACCTAACGGCAGCCTTTTTGGCGCATCTAGTGGGGCGCATATCTTGCATGAAGTTGGAAATGCGACAAGCCCAAAAAGAGGGTTTGAGAATAGAGGGAAAGACCGAAGTCGAGTTTCGCCCAAACCGCTCGAAAGGTTGCCAAAGTTGCAGAAAAACGGGGCTAGCAGAGAAAACTCTGATTCTGATATGCAGTTTGTTCTTCCTACAAGGAAGGTGGCTGACAACTTACTGAGCATATATTGGGATTATGTGGATAGCGCCTATCCCTGGGTCGACAGATCGTCTCTGGAAAACGCCTACGAGACGCTGTGGGTAAAAAATGGAGAAATATCTATGAACGAGAGGGCTTTGCACTGCATTCTCAATATGATATTCGCCATATCTTGTGTTGTTTTTCAGGCCCAAACACCTCCCTCTCGATATCAATCCTCAGTTACCTTTTTTGAGAGAGCTCAAGGATTAATGTCCTACGAACTGATGGAAATTTACAATTTCGAAATCATCCAAATCCTTTTGCTTACAGCGGTGTATCTTCAACATGATAAAATGCCCCAGAAATCCTTCCGAAGCATTGGCACGGCGATTCACATCGCACAGGATCTGGGGTTGCATCTCCCTGCGACAATCGAATCTATCAAGGACTCACGTGAGCGGGATCTTGCGCGTCGGGTTTGGAATGGATGTATTATCATGGACAGGTATAATATGGAGAGTGGATATTTTCAATGCGCAGACTAACTCTATATAGAATTGCTTCTATGACTTTTGGCTGCGCACTCAAAGTTCCCCAAGCTGTTGCAAAACAAGGATTGGATACTTTGGGGCTACACTCAGTGGAGTTCGCCAGTGGCACTGGGAATACGGCTCTACCTTCGAAGGTGGATTTTTACATATCATTCTGCCGACTACATCACATCATAGGAGACGTGTTGGAAACATTCTATAACTCCTGTGATTCCAAAGCCGACACCGATCTAAGCAGAAATTTCAATGGTGTGAAGTTAAGCTCACCATTATCCTATGATAAATTCGCGAGCCTGTTTAGAATCGAGTCGGATCTGTGCAATTGGACCGAAACCCTTCACTCCTATTTTCGAATGCCGTCGGATCTTGAAGATCCGACGCCGACAAAGTATATCATACGTCAAGCAAACATGTTGCGCGCCCGGTTTGTGTCCTGATACCTGGGAATTTGAAATGCGGACTAATTTTTGTTGAAAGATATCTTTCTGTCCGGCTTCTACTGTTTAGGCCGTTCCTTTCGCAGGTGCGCCAGCCAAAGGCAGACAATGCTCATGGTGTCAGTTTGTACTCGGAAGATCAAATCATCGGACATATGGTCTTTCAGTGCCAAATTCGGTGTGTTAAAGCTGCCGGAGATATGATAGATTTCATCACCAGAAATCTACCGGAGCAGACGCAAGCGTATATACTACCATCGAACTGGTACACTGTCTCATGTGAGTTACTCTCGTAAAACGAGGCGCAACGGCATGACTAACCATTCTCAGATACATACATGGCAGTAACTATTCTGCTTGCAGCTCAAATGTCCCCGGAGATAGTGGAATATTTTTCTCTGGCTCGTCTGAGAGACCTTTTGCAACAGGCTCGTGATATTCTCAAAGGTTATGAAAAGTATACTACATTGGCTTCGAGGTGCAGCGCTGTTCTCGAATTGATCCACAATAATATTGATATGCGCTGCTCTCGAACAGACTGCGCCGCCGAAGAAGGTCCGCAAGACGCAATCAATTGTGACAGCACAATAATTCAAGGCGCAACCATGGAAGGACAAGAGCCTCAAAATCATTTAGGAAACTTGGCCTGGCTTGAGAATTATGCCTTTGATTGGAATGATTGGCCTTTGTTCTTTGCACAGCTAGACGACGAAACTGTTCCAGCTGAAAGATGGGGAATGCAAGCATAGCCTCGACTAATCCGGAACACCGGACCTTTCTTTTTCACCCAGAACATCTGCTGGAAGATGGTTATCAACAGTCTAGCAGTAAAAGCTCATTAGACATGGAATCGGAACAAGTATCGACTTTATTTTACATAATTTATCTACTAATTGACTTGAGCACTGTGTTGATGTACCCAAGCCTGCTCCAGCTCACAACAGCACAAACATCACCCCCAGGGCTTGACAAATGAACTTGCACAGCAAATCAAACCCAATCACCAGTGTATAGTGTTACAGTTTGCCCCCACCATGGGCATCACATGGTAGCTCCCTCCGAGGAGCAAGCTACAGCCATTGTATGTCTTGAGGATGATAACAATGGGGAACCGCAGGTGTCAGCCAGCGAGGTGTCACACTTGAATTGCTCAACTGGACTACAGGCTTAAGGGTTTCCATATGGCCCCATGGCCCACCTTGGAAACTGGTCATGAGTGACTCAGTCCCGGATTCAAAATATTGGGGAAATACCCTCTTCCATCCATCCATGACAACGAGAAGGATCTCTATCACAAAAAAGGAGGGGTTGATGGAACCCCATTTGAACAACTGATTGCTCTGTTCAACAACCTCCGGCGAGTAAAGACCGATCTCAGGCTCTAGTGCAATCGCATCAGACTTCACCAAGGAACTTGTCACACGATATGAGCCGCCATGTCGAGCCCGATCCCGGAGGGCCATCAAAGCCCCCAATGCGCCCACAAGGCCAGTGGTCATATCGGAGATTGGAAGCGGTGGAAGAACGCTGGTGCCATCCTTGAAACCCAAAGACCGGCCCATCACGTATGACGACCCTGAGGCGGCATCTCCAATCTGCTGCCAGCCGGGTCTTTCATGGTACAGCCCGTCAGGGCCGTAACAGTTTTCCTCAACGTATACTATCCCCTTACCACGGTTGCCGGCCATCTCAAGGAGATCGTTGACGCCGAAGCCCTTCTTCGCGATCGTATTGGGGCGGAAGCCTTGAACAAAAACATCAGCACCCTCAATGAGTGCCCGCAATCGTGACTGGTCTTCGTCCTTGGTCAAATCAATATCGATAGTGCGTTTCCCTGTGTTCAGGGTAAGTTGCAAAGCCTAGACATTATCAGTCAGCACAAAGGAGTTCGAGCGCGAGTAGGGCAGAAATTCGCGACATACGTTCAGGTCTACTAGGCGGCTACAGTTCACGCGAATGACATCGGCACCGAAAGCGGCGAGAGTATTTCCAATGATAGGACCAGCAATGATGCGAACTAGCTCAACCACTTTGATACCTGCCAAGGGTCGCTTATCGTCCGAGATATTGGGGAAGGGGGTTGGAGGAGTCGGAATTGCATGCGACTGTCGAGAGTAGCCGACTAGAGGGTGATTCGCAAGACTCTTTCCCATCGCCGTGTCTGACCATCCTTGGGGGGTAAAGCAGATGCTACCGCAAAACCCGTTCTTGACGTTATGCATTTCCAACTCGTCTGCGGTCCATTGCTCCACATGCTTGCTGATGTAGTCATAAGCTTCATCTAAAGTCTGGGCAGGATAATCAGGATCAATTCCCATCGATTTGAGGACCGGTGTGGGATCAAGGGAACCATGAAGCTGATACCAAACACCCGGAGTCTTTGTCTTGTAGAGAGCAGTAGTTCGTTGTTTTACCGGGGTTGACATACAGCCTCGCTCGAAATCCTGCTGGAAAAGAGCTGGCAGCTGACGCGACCTGACCAGCCCAGGCAAGTCTTTCCCTTCCACAGAAGCTGCAAAAATAGTTCCCAACCAGATACCAGCATGATCGGTGTTGACAGTGACCTGCTGGGTACGCGCGGATGTGCCGTCACGATCTTCGATAATTTCGTGGGCTACAACTCCACACATGGCATGTAGAGAAGCTGCAATGGGAGGGGCCTTGATTGGGCCAGGAATAATTGGTAGCGAGCTACCTTCAAACTTGACTGTATCCCAAAGCTCTTTGTCTTGAGTGAACCCAGGAGTGCTCTTTGCAATATACTCAAAAATCCGAGCAGCATCTTTGGGAATTGGAGTAAAATCCGTATCCATGAAAGTCCCAGGACCGTATATATCTGTGCTCGGTGTGGTTTTGTGTGGCGGCATTGTGAATTCAGAGAGATGTTGCCCCGAGATGATCTTTAGAAAAATGAGAAAAAGAACGGAGATTTAGAATGGAGGCAAGGATGAAGTAATTTTGGTCGTGCAACTTCTATAATCGGACAGGTACTTTACCATGTCCCCGGTGATCACGAACTATTTATGTCCCCTTGAACGTACGTCAGAGAGAGATGATCTCCCCGTTCCGAAGCTTTGAAGCTTCCGAGGTCGGAAGGCCAAAAATGGCACCGGAGATGTGGGTTTATTTCCCTTCATTAATTGCCACCGAGTCTATTGTCCCCCCCTCGGAACCCGGCACTTTCAGCATGGAATGTTAGCTGGTCTTGGCTTCGATATTGACATCGCGGAAGCCAGCAGACGCTTCCGAGGTACATTTTTCCCGATTCGGTACGCACTCCGGTGCCTTTGAGTAACTTGCTCCGTCACCTCGAGGGCCCATAGACTATTTAATGACCTCACTGCACGCATAGTAAATTACTATACAACCTCAATTCAAACGGAAAACTCTGAATAAACGCATAACATATCAAAAACCATGGCTCTTCCTCCAATTAGAACTGTCGGCGTGATCGGCACTGGTGTGATCGGCGCCAGTTGGACGGCACTGTTCCTAGCTAGGGGCTTGAAGGTCATTGTGACGGACCCAGCACCAGGAGCTGATAGCAAGCTCCGAGATTATTTACTGAAGAATTGGTCGACTACCCCCAATGCCAAGGTGACACAAGCCGATTACTTGAACAATTTCAAATTTGTCAAGGAAATCGACCCCCATCTTGGGGATTTAGATCTAATTCAAGAAGTGAGTTGGCCGTTGCAAAAAGAGTTTCCTTCGAGGTTGTTGCTGATCGACCTTATATATAAGAATGGACCGGAGAGGCTAGACTTCAAACGTCGTCTTTTCGCTCATTTGGACGCAAATACCCCCGAGCACGTGGTAATCGCATCATCGTCCTCTGGACTCCCTTCGTCGGACTTTATCACTGAATGCAAGAGAAACCCATCCCGTATTCTGATCGGTCATCCCTTCAACCCCCCACACCTAGTACCCTTGGTGGAGGTAGTTCCCCACCAAGGAACCGGTGATGCGTACGTGACGGCTGCACTCCAGTTCTACCGAAGCCTAGGCAAAGATCCGGTCCTCGTCAAGAAGGAAACTCCCGGGTTTATTGCGAACCGGCTTCAAGCCGCCGTCTGTGCTGAAGCCTATAGCCTCATCTCGAGAGGAGTCATCTCAGCTGAAGACCTTGGTTAGTATTACCCGTTTGATTGAATGTGTGTGAATTGCTCTGACCTGATTAGACAAAACTGTGACATCTGGCCTTGGTCCTCGTTGGGCTTTGACTGGACCGATCATGACCAACACTCTTGGGGGAGGTGGAAATTTTAACCATTTCATGGACCACCTGGGGCCGGCGTTGAAAACATGGTTGGATGACATGCACCGGCATGAATTTGACATGGGTTCTCAAGATGTCGACGTTGTTAAAGAGAGAGTGGATGAGTGGATATCACATGTTAACTTGAAAGAGATTGAAGAAAATCGGGACAAGCTTTTGGTTGGCTTGATAAAAAGCAAATCGGAGGGTTCCTTGTAAGGATTGTTATACATCAATTTTATTCCCAAGTCATAATGTTTATTTGAAACCATGAAGCTACGCCATAGTTAACAGAGCAACAATTGACTATTTTAGGTCTACTGGTATTTTTTTAAAGTTGAGAAACACATTTGATTCAGTTGATGTTGTGGGTAGTTCACACTAACGTACAAGACACAAATCGCCAAAAATATTCAAAAAAGAGAAGGATGTGACTCGCAAGAGATAGACATTTTTATAGCAAATTACAGGCGGACTACCTGTGCAGAGTCTTGAAGCAAGTGTGCACCAGCCTTGACCTCCGAAGGTTTCGCCAACAGGGCTGGGGCCTTCTTGATGAGTTCCTGAAGGTAAGGCGCAGCATGATGTTTGTCCAATGCGGCCTGGTTTGTGTATCTGAAAAGAAGTTTAGTAAAAAGGGTCCAATGGTAGATATTGTCAAGCTACAAAAAGAGAAAACAAGGGACGGAGCGTGGACGTACCTTTCAACTACGACGACTTCATTGGCTTGAGGAATAGAGTAGGCATAGTATACAATAGCCTCAGGCTCATGCTCTTGGACATTGCGGGTAATATTGGCTAATTCGGCAACGAGCTATAAATAGGACGCGACACAAAGTTCGTCAGTTCAGAAAGATCCATATGGGGGGGAAGAGAAAGCCACTCCTGATAGCAACAACAATCGACTATGATCAGAAATAACATAGGCCTGGTAAGCCAGACTAGTTATTGATTTCACTTACTTCGTCAAACGCTTCCGGCTTAGCCGTAAGAATGGCAACCTGGTTGATAACTTCGGACATTTTGAGCTCTTGGGGGCTTTAGAGTGGTACGGAATAAAGTAAGAGAACAAAATAGTAAAGAACAAAAGGTATTTATTGCAAGGGGCAGACTCTCTAGGCCTAACTTAGGTAGGTTGGCACCATATGAAGGTCATATTAATAATTCCACACCCACTCCCGTCAGTTCCGCAAAGAACCGGGAACCACAGAAACATGCACGGCCGAAATATTAGCTCCAAAGTTAATATAATATCTTATATTTTGAATACATGTAATTACTTCACTTTGGTGACTCTTGAGTATAGTGTTGTCGATTGCATATTTCTGTGATATCTCACAGAAATATGCAGCACAAAAATATACGGTCAGTGATATTCAACTCCAACTGAAATGGTAAAACAAGTAAACTCCAACGGACATGTTGACTAAACATAAAATGCCGGTACTTTTGTTGCCAGGTGGGATTCGCCACACTGCGGTCATGTGATTTTCTGGGGGAAACCCGTAATTGTGCCAAGCCCATCAACCCCTATTGTACTCCGTACCACAGCGGATAACAAATTCTCAAGTATCTTTTATATGGCAATTCCGTACAAAAGATACTTAATTTGACAATTTGTGATACGACGAGAATTTGCTATCCGCTGGGGCATACCATCACCGGGGGCTTGAAACGATTATTTAACCAGGTTTTCAAATAAGGTATTCGATATCTTATTCCGTTTGGTCTTCACCAGGGAAGCGATAAGTTAGAAGAACTATGACGTTTTCCTTGAATGGGCGGCTGGAAGACTTTCCTCGGAGTCGGAAAGCCGATAGTCTCGGCTTCAAAGGTTGTCGGAATAATAAATTAAGCGGGTCAACGGAGTACGCGTCGTCAAATATCGGAACATACCGATTAGGCTCGCGGCTGTACTTCGGAAGCCACCAAATCTGCACAGCGGACAAGCCGGTTGGCTCATCCATGCTAGATAATAGTTAAGCCACCTTCTTGAGGTCGCAGTACATGAATTGGAAAGTACTTAAGGTGTTGAGCTGTCACCCAGTTTACTTGGATATCAACTCTTTGCCCCGCAAAAGCTTAATCGCCCGATTTCTTTCGGTCTCTTTATACTCTCGAAATGGCCCAATCTCCCCTTGTTGCGGCTTCTACAGGTCGACTCTTTTTCCTCGACGTTGGCCTTTCAACATATCCAGAACCCATTGGCCGCATTCTCACTTGCCAACCGGATGGTTCTGGTCTCCGTGAGCTGATTACCAATATCAGCAGTCTCCCCGATGGAATCGCCATTGACAAGGCTCGCCAGCATATATATTGGACAAATATGGGAGTCCCTTCCGCCAACGACGGGTCCATACAACGTTGTGATTTATCTGGTAGGAATATTGTGACGATCATCCCACCAGGCCAGACACATACGCCGAAGCAGATGATTATTGCGCCGAAGTCAAAAAAGCTGTACTGGTCAGACCGAGAAGGAATGAGAGTTATGAGGGCCAATATGGATGGTAGTGACATTGAGGTGCTTCACCAGGCTGGCATCACCGATACAGACAGACAGGATGCGCAGAACTGGTGTGTCGGCATTGCTGTGGACGAGGAGTCTAAGTCTATCTTTTGGACGCAGAAAGGACCGTCGAAGGGGAACAAAGGACGGATTTTCAGAATGGGTCTCGAAAAAAATGACGCAGATATCCAGATCCTTCTGGATAATCTTCCGGAGCCTATCGACTTGGAATTAGATCAAGTCTCTGGAACATTGTACTGGACTGATCGTGGTGATCCACCACAGGGTAACACTGTAAATTCAGTCGCCCTTGCGGATGTGTCAGCGAAAAACTTGCAGCCGAAGGTCTTGGTTCGCAAGCTTCATGAAGGGATTGGACTTGCCTTGGACTTGAAGAATAGCCGTATGTTTTTCGGCGATCTTGGAGGCTCTCTGTATAGTGCCAATATGGACGGGTCCTGCAAGCACACTATTTCCCCTGATATTGGAGGTGCGATTACGGGGATAGCCTATGTTGAAGAGTAGTTGACATATTGATATATTGAGGTATCGATTACATGCAACTTGGCGGACCTCTCTTTGATCCTTTGTGGCGCTCAGGCGTCTGTCCCTTTGTCCCGTGAATATATTTACAGGGCTTCTTATAGAGCTTCTTACGGAGCTTCGTGGCGGTAGTTAGATTGCCACCAGTAGTTATCTTGACTCTCATTGATCCTTTGTTTCTTAGTCACATAGTGTACGTGTATCAGTAGTAAAGCACTAATCTCCTGCCATCTCTCGATTCCGACGTCTTTGGCTAAAATAGTGGCACTACGTAAGTTGATTTCTTTGCTGTACATTGTTGATTACTGTTCCATTAGAGAATTCACAGTATTCATCGAACCATATATTATCCTTACTATATACATGGAGAAAATGAGGCGCTGCTTAGGGCTTTTTTTTTTGCCCGAGTCGGAATCCCAATACGGTCATCCGGGATATGACGTCGCGACCTTCCGATCCGCTCGATGCTGCCGTTAGTCCAAATATGAGCACTTCCTAAGGCAAATGTCTTTTTGGGCTTGTTCAGGGAGGAAGCCCCAGACAAAGAAATTGAGACAGGACAGATCCTGTAGAACTGCACACACATTGTATTTGTTTGAGCTCCCCGTGGAGAAACTGCGAATATTTTATTTTATACTAAGCTTTAACCCCTTGTATAACTTCATGATGTAGAAAAATGCCAAAAGCTTTCATACATGGCCCTATCCACCAAGTTTAATTGGCCCTAAATCTTCCACCCTTCGCCGTGCTTCCATTTGATGAATCTCAAGACAATGAAAAGAGCCGAACCAGTCACGACCGTTATAGCACTGAAAAGTTGCGCTTTCCAAAAGACAGCATGTTCCAGATCTAACAAAGCACCCGCAATGGGGTTACCAATCAGCAGGCCCAAACCAGCAAAGGTGAAGCACATTCCCATTCGGGTGCCCACAATACTCATATCCGCCGTGATCTTGGCGACGATAGTCGGGGGCAATGAGACAATTGCACCAGATGCATATCCGTAGATGATAGCGAAGATAATAGTTCCAGCTTCATTCTTGATGCCTATCCAAGCGAAAGCTAAGACAGTAGCTATCAAGCTGATTGGGACAATGGTGTTGAGGGAGCCGAATCGATCGGCGAGTAGACCGGGGGTGATGCGGCCAAACACGGAGGCAGCATTGAGAATTGCAATGCTGTAGAAGGCAATATTATCGTTAGAATGGAGGTAGGTTGTGAAGAAAGTGGGAAGGTAAAAGAAGGGGAAGTATAAGCCAATAAAGGCGAAGAACAATGCCAGACTGAGCACAATGAAGGGCGATTCTTTGAATGCACTCGGATCGATGAGTCTTCGCGCTTGCTTCGGAGGTGGCAGGCGAATTTTCATCACAGCAAGAGAAAACAGTAGTCCGCCGAGGGCAATAAACGCGATGACACGAGTCGTCCAGCCGAAGCCAAGAGGGCCAATCAGCTTGTGGAACACGGAAGGGAAAATAACGGAGCCTTGGTACAAGTATTAGCGATAGAATAATTTCTTGGTTTCAGCATTCGATACTTACCGATGCTACCTCCAGAAGCGGTTATACCTGTGGCCACTGCTCTCCGCGATGTAAAGTAGGTGGCTACAATAGCGACACTAGGAAGGAACAAGAATGCGCAACCAGCTCCCACAGCGACACCATGGGCGAGGAAGATCTGGTAATACTCAGTTGCCAAGGATGTCATCATCAAACCAAATACCACTAGGAATGAGCCGATGGCGATGAGGCTCTTTAGATAGCCCTTGTCAAAAATGGGGCCGACAACGACTCCGACGACAAAGAGCAGAAATCCTTGGACTGTACCAATCCAAGAGATTGAGGATGCGGAGTACCCCGGGAGGAGGGTCTCCTCATAGTAGCTCTGGAAGACACCGAAGGTGTTGACAATGCCCCTGAGATTGATTGTGTTAACTTGTTGAACGATAAAATTTGGAATGTCAAGCTAGAACTTACCAAGAATTGAAAAACAGGAAGAAAGCACCTGCTACCTGAAGCCAAGCTGTAAGTCCTCCATTTGGCGGAGGGGGAGGTATCGCTGGTTGAGCGGCTGTCTGTTTTTCTGACTCGGATTCATCAGACTCGGCGACAGGTAGTGACGCAGGAGGGTCTCGTAAAGCGAGATGCTTGTCCAGCTCAGAAGACATGGTGTGTTGGAAGTATGAAGTATGAAGTGATTCCAAAGGTTACTTCGTAGTCTCAAAGGACCCTGGGACTTCAGGAAAGTTGGGGAATGCAACTCAAGGTAATCCACTTATGAGTGCTGATACAGTTTTTATTATAGTGCCTATTAGCCCCAAATATAGCCTAGGACTAAAGGTTACATGCTATAGAGTTCGGCCTTCGGCCTTTTCCCACTTGGGGAGCATTTGTAATATTGTAGGGGCATGGCTTCACTCGATTTCTTTATGGGCTATGTTTGACCCACAAATGTGGAGCCTAAAAGGGACTAAGCTTTGGATCTGCCCGAAAAACGAAAGATCAGAAATTAAATACGACATCGAGGGATTCAAAGGATTTCAGCTGCATCACACCAAGCAAGTTTCGCATTGCGACATTTTCCGTTGCGGGTCAAGTAAGCTGCAAGTTCGTGCTTCGAAGCGACTGATGAATAAACGAATAAACGAATAAACGACTAAACGAATACGGCACGGCACGGCCCCAGTTCGTTGCATTGTACCTATGAATGAGCGGCTTCCCTCCAACAGACCCCAATTGCAAAGATCGTTGGACTATCACATATGAGACTTTCAGGTAGCAAACTCCCGACAAACACCCGATGTATTGGTCAATTAATGTGTCTTGAAAGTGTAAAACGGAGGAATGAGATACGACTGGACGTAAATTTGCAAATTCACTACCCCAAGTGACTATGTTGTACCCCTGCCAGGGGTAGACTAGGTGCAGCGGGTTGCATAACAGCCTCAGTTTCTCTTACATAATTGCAAAAGTTGCTGCCTAGGGTTGGAAACATGGACCCTGGTTTAATCTGATATATATAAAGTGATCTACCTGTTTAAAAGGGCATAGTATATGCAATCATGAAGTATGAAGTATATGATGTACTAAAAAAAGTCTGTAGAAACACGAAAAAGAGAGGAGCAAAGGAAGACTGGACAAATCTACTCCAACTGGTGGAGTCATCATGTGACCAGATGCATGCTGACAACAAATTTTGTGTACAACATACGCCACTTCCAACAGTCATGTCATCTTCCGCGTAAATCTCCTCTGAATCTTCTATGAATCTCCTATGAATCTCCTGATTGTACATAGAAAAGTCCTCTGCACAACTTATGCTTTTTGCCGCCTTCAAAACCCATTTAAAAAGATATACTCCGTACAAAAAAGACATCACCAGGCCCTACCCATATAAGTGGTCAACTACATACACCAGTCTACCCTAACTTCTAGTAGGGATCCCCACGCTAAAGGCGGTCAACATGATGCTATATAGTCAATCAGTCACAGCTCAATGTATCTTATTTGTACAGTATTAACATTACATTCTATATAGTGTACATATGTAGCATATTTGGTGATACTACATAACTAAACATAAAAGGTTTGCATGAAATATACCTTTAGTATGAGGTGATCTCAAAATTCTCTGTACATTGCAGTAGTCTACTCCGTACTAGTGATTGTGATGATTTTATAGGATACTATGTGTATGTGACTGAAATAGCATGCATAGAATACGAGAAATATTGACGCTAGTAGATCCCATTTGTGGAGACTTGTAGTATTCTTGTTCAATCTTGGTCTGACACTTATAGTATGTCACACATACCAATAAGCTACTCCCTGCAACACCCGTGGACAAGCCTTAAAACGCGGCCCGGCTAGTAGGGTTCCGCATCCTTCACGTCCGCGCACGTCCGTCAGATCCATCACAAATTTCTTCTTCAGATTACTCAAACACAAACACGGTCTTCCGACCCCCAATCGCTTCATCATGGGCCCGCTGGATCGAATCACAGAGCAATTTCTCCAAGCCTTTCGCGCCACGTTTCCAGGCGACATGCTCTAGCGCCGGTGCCTTCAGGGTCCCATGAGCCAATAATTCTGCAAACCATTCAAAAAGCGCCACCTGTTGCGGAGGGGCCCGTCGGCTGAGGCAATCGCTTAGCCTGAAGGATTTGAGCGTAATATTGCGCTGCCACAGGAACTGGCGCAAATTTCCCTCTTGCGACTCAGCCGTCCCGAGAAATCCTGCCGTTACAAGCGTGCCACCTGGAATGAGGGATGCTACCATGTTTCGGGCTAGTGAATCATCCGAGACTGAGTCAATTGCCAGCACGATCCTTTTTCCTGCCAAGGCATCGGTCGTACGGAGCTCTTCTTCCGTGAGGACTAAGGATGCACCATGAGACCGCAGTGAGCGTTTAGTGCGCTCTAGCTCGTCGGCTGTGGATCGGTCGCGGATGACGCTGATAACTCGGATGCCATACAGTGGGGCTAGTTGGCTGACGAAATGGCTGATGGTTCCGGTGCCCGCGTTCTGGATGATCCAGTCTCCGGGATCCAGGTTGTGGTATTCCCTCAACAGGAAATAAGCCGGGGCGATCCCCATGCGCAAAATCGACGCAAGATGTGGCTTGACGGTGGACGGAATACGGATGAGATCCTCCTCGCCGAACACCGCGTGTGTTCTCCATGTGCCCTTGCAGTGGGTCCGGAGAATAACAAGATCATCAACGGCCAAGTTGCTGACGGCGGAACCGACTTGGACAATGCGAGCTGCGCCATCAGAGCCTGGAATTGCTCGCTGCTCGCCATCCTCGCCTAAGATGGTGCTCTTGGGTTTGATTGGGTACTTTCCATGAATAACGAGAAAGTCCAATGGGTTGACGGGGACCGCGAGGAACTCAACGACAACTTGTTCTGGTCCATGAGTGGGGATGGGCTGCGTGGCGAGGTGCAGTCCATCAATTGGGTTAGGGGCGCCATAAGTGAAGACGAGGGATTCGGCCATTGTGACGTAAAAACTCGGGTTCGTGTTGGAGTGATGGAGGCAGAAGGTCTAGATGATTGGTGATACTGGTGATACTGGTGATACTTTCCTTTGCATTGTCCAGATCGAACTTTTTATAGCCTTGTCGATGAGATCAAAAAATCCCTCATTGCCAGGCCGCAGGTCCATCACCGTTGCATAAGATCCGCTCCACGTTACGCAAGATCTGACATGCATGAAGTGGATTCAGGAACCGCCAAGAGAGCCTAGAGGCTTGACTGTACAAGCCTTCAGGGAAATGATAGCCGAGGCCAAAGCGGTACGAGGCACTCTTCAGGGCCGATTCCGGCGTATACGACCATGTGAGAGGTCTATGGGTTGATGCCTGAAGGCCATGTTTTTATGCAACGGGATCCGATTGGGGAAATTACTCACATATGCAAGATGTTGGGTCAGAACAGGATTGAGACATGAAACACGATACTTCCACCTATACAGGCTAGTTCACAAAGCCTCACGAGCTTTCACTACCACCTTGGAGCATTAGGCACAGCCAACACCAAGTCTTAGAGTGGAACACATGGAGAATGAATGGCGTGGTTTAGGCCCCGGGTCATCTTTGCTTCGGTTTACGAGACATCCTTCGCCGGTCAAGACCCTTTTTGGAAAATGCACGTATATTGCGCCTTCAGGAATGGACCGTCAGGATTTGGGGTCTCCACAGAGTAGTCCCCACGGAGTACGACGTTAGGCAGATGTATATTGTCACAAAGATAGCAGAATGGTGCCAGCTTGGTCTATAAGTATCTGTTCAACCCATAGATCCTCAGTATCAGCAGTGTCTTCATCTTTCTCACACTCAGGCTGGCATCCATTGCTAAAGGATCTCACCATGGCTCCAATTGCTACCAAGCACCTTATATCCAGCGATACTTTGCACAGTCCTGCCACAACCCTCAAACAAAAAGTCACAAATGTGACACAATACCAGGCTACTTCAAGCCCGCCATCAGCGCCTTGTCTGGTTACGGACCTCATTCGATATCAAGTCGAAACAAACCCAGAAGCATTCGCTGTGCACTGCGAACATGAGGAACCGCATACATATCACGAACTATGGCAGCTTGTGGAACAAATTGCCCTCAACGCCAGATTTACATCAGGATCTATTGTCCCAGTATGCCTAGATCCCACTATAGAATTCGTGGCGAGTCTTCTGGCGGTTCTGGTTTCTGGTGCAGCATACGTTGTTCTTGATCCCGAAGGTTCTCCGGAGCGTAACCGGGCTATCGTGACCGATACTGGAGCGGATTCAGTTCTGTCAAATCACAAATATGCCTATTTGTTTGAAAAAGCCATCTCGGTGGAGGATCTCCTGTCTGTAAAGGAGACGGTTCAAGGGTATTCGGATAGCCTGCCACTCGTTCCTGGCTCAAGTCCTTCGGATCTCGCATATCTGATCTACACTTCTGGTGAGTCATGGTCCAAGACATATCCATCAAGATTTCTGAACGTGATGGATTAAAAGTTAACACTCTTTTCAGGTTCTACCGGAACACCAAAAGGAGTTTTACTGAGTCACCGCTCAGCAAGCCATGGGATAAATCAATTCGAGCTCAACGGCCGCAGGCGGTGGTTGCTCTTTTATAATCCCGTATTCTCCGCCGCCCAGAGAACTATTCTTGCCACACTAGCAAAGGGTGCCTGTCTCTGTCTGGCACGCCGCGAGCGTCTAGCAACAGCATTGCCCGAAGTGCTTGTCAACCTCCAAATTGATGCTCTTGGCATCACCCCATCGGCACTGTCTCTGCTTTCTCCCAGCGAGATTCCGGACAGCCTCGAGCAGATAACAACTGTTGGCGAGCCCTTGAGCCAAGCTCTCGTTGATTTATGGGCGGATGAAGTTCACCTGCGTGTCTCGTATGGTCTCAGTGAATGCGCTCAGTTGAACTTCTCTCGGCGATTGAAGCCGGGTGATAACCCTCGCAACCCAGGACGGCCAGTTGATACCACCACTGCTGTCATTCTGGAGCCTAATACAACAACGCAATTGGCAGTTGATGAACCTGGTGAATTGTGCCTCTTTGGGCCTCAAGTTGCCAGCGGCTATCACCAACGCCCGAAAGAGACTGGCGCCGGTTTTGTCAAGAACCCTTTCGGTTCACACATTCTTTTTAGAACGGGCGATCAAGCTGTTCGTCGGGCCGATGGGACTTTTGAGATCATCGGAAGAATTGATCACCAGATCAAAATTCATGGCCAGCGAATCGAGCCTCAGGAAGTGGCGGAGACGCTCAAAACCGTGGAAGGTGTCGCTGATGTTGTATGCATTGGCGCGGCAATTAAAGATAAGATTTCCCTCGTTGCTGCAGTCGTATCAAATACCCAAGAAGGTTGGGCCGATCTTGTGAAGAGTTTGCGAGAACATGCACAGCGTTCATTCCCACCATACATGGTCCCGAGCTACTGGCTTCGCTTCGATGAATTGCCAGTTAATCGAAATGGCAAGACTGACTTCACAACCATCCGGAAGACAGCTGAATCCACAGATATTGACAGACTTCTGGGTCGTGATCACAATATCAATGGACAGGAAGTTCATTTGAGCCAGATTGCTCTTGAAATCGCTGAAGTCTGGGCCGGGTTCTTACAACTCAGCCGCTCATCTATTCTTCCTACCGATTCTTTCGTTGCATTGGGCGGAAGTTCAATTGACGCAATCCAAGCAATTCGCGAGCTCCGCACAAAGGGAATTCATGTCGACCTTGCGGACATGTTGAGATCGCAGAGCTTGGAGAGTGTTGCTGATTCTTCCCGGCTGGATCCTAAAGGAGAGAGCCAGCCTCACGACCCTCAGCCGTTTGACTTTGTATCAGACCTGGAACTCAGAGTTGAGCTTCAGGCTGATCGCGGTATATCTGATGCTTTGCCTATCACTGCCTTACAAGAAGGTATTCTTGCCAGCACACTACAAGGTTCCAAAGACTATCTGTATCAGAGGGTTTTTGATATCCGGCACCTTGACCTGGTCAGATTGCAGCTTGCTTTCCAAACTGTGTTTTGGCGTAGCGAAACACTCCGATCTACCTTTGTTCCGGCCACCAAGGGCTTACTGCAAGTCATCCGGAATGACTTCATTCTTCCTTGGACGGAGGTTTCTGGTGGCCTGGAAAATTTCCTCAAGGCTGACAAGGAAAAAGGTGTCGACTTCGGTGAGCCTTTCATCAGAGTAGCAGTGCTCAACAACGCTGTACTCATCGTGTCTGTTCATCATGCACTGTTCGACTATTGGTCGCATTCATTCGTATTTGATGATGTTGCACGAGTTTACCATGGCAGAAAACCTGAGGCTCGGGCTTCATGGAAGTCCTTCATTGGACTTTTACAGCAACAGGGGGAGAGAAATTCCACCGAGTTCTGGAGACAGCACCTCCAGGAATCGACACCTACGATCCTAAACCATTCTCCAATTGAAGAGTCTTTCAGCGCTACGCGCACTCTGTCTCTGAATATGAAGTCGGCATCCACGGCCCTTCAAGTTCCATCCAGTGCTATCTTATACGCTGCCTGGGCTATAGTTCTTTCGTCTCATACGGCGTCAAACCTGGTTACTATGGCTACAGCTATCTCGGGTAGAGAGCTGCCATTGAAAGGAATTGAGACTCTGGACGGTCCAACTCTCGCCATGGTACCCCAGGCAGTGCTTGTCAATCCTGAACATTCGCTGGTCCAACTTGTGCAATCTGTCAATGCCAATCTCTGGGATCTCATCAAGAATTCGCAACAGGGAGTGCGAGGCGCTTTGGCAGCTGCTGGACATCAGAACGCCACTCTCTTCGATACCATGGTAAACATACTGCCCTTGGGACAAGATAGTAATGACCTCACAAGAGAGGTCTTCCAAATGCATGGAACCAGATCTGCGTGGAAAACGGAGTATACCACATTAAACATTGAGGAGAGATCCGGAGGAGTCGAGATTAGCCTCACAGCTCCCATGGAGCAGCGTCGTCTAACATTTATCTTGAAACAATTCTGTTATGTTGTTGAGACCATTTTCAGCAACCCACGACTACCAATCAAATCCTTCAGTCTCCTCGAATCGGAAGAGTTGGACTTCCTGCTCCAATGGAACGATGAGCAGCCGCAGCCCACTACCCTTCACGATGAGTTTGAGTTGGCAGCTCAGAAACACTCCTCTAGGGTTGCTATCAACTTCCAGAATGAGCAGCTCCTAACATACTCTGAATTGAACGAAAGAGCCAACCGCATGGCCAACTTCCTCTCGGAGCGCGGTGTCACGGCAGGAGATCTTGTTCCTCTTCTTTTGGAGAAATCACCATTCATGATGATCGCAATTCTGGCACTCTTCAAGCTCGGTGCCGCCTATGTCCCTCTGAGCCCCGAAAATCCTCTCGAGCGCAATGAGTTCATCGTGCGTGATGTCGGCGCCCATATTGTTCTCACGGAAACAGAACATGCTACGTTCTTTTCCTTTGAGGACATCTCCATTCTTTTGATTGATAAAGCTAAGCTCTGCGCATATTCGAAGGAGAAGCCCGAAGTCGAAGTCTCACCTAGTGACCTCGCCTACATTCTCTATACTTCAGGCAGTACAGGTCAGCCAAAGGGAGTAACGGTCACCCATGGGGCATGCGCTGCTGCGATGAGATCAATCATCGATTTTGAGGACAAGCGTGATAAGCCCTTTAGAGCTTTACAGTTCTCTAACTACGTGTTTGATGTCTCACTGTATGACTTCTTCGTCACATTGCACAGCGGTGGAACTCTCTGCATTACTCCATCGGATCGCCTGCTGGGTGATTTGGCCGGGGCCATCAACGAGATGGATGTCAACCATGTCTTCTTGACCCCGACGGTTGCCCGGCTTCTGGACCCCAAAGACGTCCCAGGCTTGGAATCAATGACCGTTGGAGGCGAGCAGTTGACGCGCGATGTGATCGAGACCTGGGCTCCAGTCTTGACCCTGCGTAATGGCTACGGGCCTACAGAGGCTTCGGTTCTGGTTACCATGAAAGAGGTCACTGTCGATACCACCGGTGGTAATATCGGACGGCCTCTCGCTTCCGTGGGCGCAGTCATTTTGGAAGCCAATGGCACTCAACCACTTCCATATGGAGCAGTTGGAGAAATTTGCTTCTGGGGTCCTCAGTTAGCCGATGGCTATTTCAAAAAGCCCGAACTAACCGCTGAGGCGTTTATCGAAACCAATCTTAGTGGTGGTCGGCGGTTGTACCGCAGTGGCGATTTGGGCAGATACCTTCCTGGAGGCGATATTGAATGTTTAGGACGCAAAGATGACCAGGTCAAAGTGAATGGGCATCGCATTGAGCTCGGCGAGATTGAGCAGGCAATTCTCCGAACGGGCGAAGTCACTGATTGTATTCTCACTGTTTGGAAGCACAACAACACAGCTCATCTGGTGGCCAACGTCGTTTTCAACCCCCTTGATCAAGAGCTGGAAATTCTCTCACCAGATCTCTTTGCTGAGGAAACACAACGTCTCAAAAATAAGCTCAACGGCTTGGCTCACTACATGGTCCCGAAGTTCCTCCTTCCTCTTCCCTTCCTTCCTCGAATGCCTTCTGGTAAAGCGGATCGCAAACAACTCAAAGCACGCGTGCAGTCTCTCAACCAGGGTGAACTTGCCAAATACTCTCTCAACAAGCTTGGCACATCTGGGCCGGAGGATATCATCCCGATTGTCTCCGCGTCCCAGAAGATTCTTCAAGAGGCTTGGATTGAGATCCTGCAGTTACCCGACAACCAATTTGGGTTGGAGGCCAATTTCCTCAGCCTTGGCGGTGACTCCATCTCTGCCATCAATCTTGTCAGCTACATTCGACGCAAGGGTCTGAATATCAGCGTACGAGATGTCGTCAAATACCCTCTGTTGGGGGCAATGGCGGAGTCTCTTCAGCAAGAAACAGACCAAGTACCAACTGCGACTGTCGTCTTTTCGCCACCGACAGAGTTGGATGCTTTGATCTCTTCTGAAATTGAACAGCAGCAGTACGAATATGTGTACCCTTCTCCCGCCGGACAAGCCGAGTTCCTTACTCAGGGAGCTCGGGCCGATCCATTCTGGTGTTTGATGACAGCCCGATCTCTTGGAATCAACCCCAATATCTCTCAGTGGATTGATCTCACAAAGAGATTGGCAGAGACCAACGAGATTCTGCGTACTACCTTCACCCAATTCCAAGGCAAATGGTATGGTGTCGTTCTGAATGATCCCACCCCCGTCTTGGAATTCTACGATATCACCGACGAAGCCGAGAAAAGACAAATCCTCGACGTGATATGGAAAGAACGCTTTACCTTCGGAAAGCCCTTCATCCGCTACGCAGTTCTGCGCTATCCCGATGGCGAGCACCAAGTGATCACAAAACTAGACCACGGTCTCTACGACGGCACACTCCTCCGCGTCTTCGACGCCCATTTCCAAGCCTACCAGCGGGGCGAGGAAGTCGAAAAATTCACCTCCTTCAAGGAATTCGCATTCCACATCTGGCAAGTCAACCAAACCCGCCCAACCCTCGACTTCTGGACCCAACCCGACAAAAGACCCATCACCTTCAACTACCCCAACGCAACAGAGCCCTGCATCAACGCCTCAGTCGTGCACATAATCCACCTCGACTTCGAAACCTTCAGTCGCTCCAGTGGCGTGACAGTCTCAACACTGTTCCAATCCATCTTCCAGATCTGGCTCGCCCGTCGCAGCGGCCAGACAAGCATCGCGTTCGATTACCTCTACACAGGCCGCAATGTGGATCTACCAGACCCGCAAGGCATAAACGGCACCTGCGCCAATTTCTTACCCATGCGCTCTGAGGTTGACGCGCAGACTCCTGTGCAGGAGTATCTGCTGCGAACGCAGGATGATTTCTGGCAGTACACTGAGAACAACACTGTCGGGATTGAGGATATCTGTCAGGCGAATGGAGTTCCGCGTGCCGAGGCGGAAAATCAGGCACTTTTTTTGTTCCAGCCTTTCGAGACGGCGTCGCCTGCTGGTGCGAAGGAGGTGACGCAGAAGTGGGTTGTGATGGCGAAGTCCGAGGTGACTATGTTGCAGCCTTATGCGGTTGTCTTTGAGGTTATTAAGACTGCGGATTTGAATGGATATAAGTTGAAGTTGGCTTATGATAGCTCTGTGTGGGCGAAGGAAGAGGTCGAGGTGGAAGTTGGGGTTGTTGAACAGATGCTCTCGCGTGTTGTCGGGGATGCGAATGCTCTGATTGGGGATGTTCTCCAAACAGTATAAAATGTCAGATCTCTTGTTTTTGTCTGTTATGAACTTGCTATATTTTGTTGTCATTGCCTCATTGTTTCTTGTTTATCGTGAGTTTTCTGCTTTTGGCCTTTTCTTCTTCGGTTCCCTTGATTTCACGTTGACTCTCCGCTGGCTCGAGATAGTAACGTTGCCATTTGTTCTTGTTTGATTTACCTCGTGTCTTTTCGAAATTGATACATAGAATGATATAACAAGAACTAGCTTGAAGTTCTTTTTCAATGAATCCTACTCCCTTAGGTGCCCCGGCCTTCTACATAGGGTGTAGCTGGTCTATTTCGCCCGAAACGATTCAAATTCAAAGGACATTGTATGGAAGAATATATCATTCTAGATGTTCTTTTTAAAAGTATGTGAAGAAGGGAAAAAGCAGAAATTATGTAGACATTCCTACATATATAACCACCAGGGATGTCGGATGTAGGTCGGATCTTGGGCCTATCAACATTAAATGTTCAACTAGACCACTCAATCGCATTTTGTAGGTTCTTAGATTCTTTTATATCATAATGCAGTTTGAGTGGCCTCACTATATCCCAGTGAAAGAAGAACTGGCTATTTAGCTAGCATACCAACTACATGCCGACTACATATTCCGTACGCCGGAGGCAGCTTCTATCTTACAATGAACCATCTTGTCATCTATTGAATCGATTGACTAATTCTTCCCTGTCTCGTCATCGTGGAATGATATCTCCACGCTGCCAAGATCAAGGCTCCAAAGACTCATGGATGTAAAAAAAATGTAAGGAAGGTGTCATGCACACTCCCTATAATCATTGAAGATGAACACAGCGGACCATCGAGGTTGGCCAGTAGAAGAATCATGGAAACAAGCTGCACGCATAAGACAACCGTCAAGAAAATCAGAATAACCAACCATTACAGCAGTGCAGATCTCGAATAGCTGTGCGCGAGATATAAAAAAGATAAAACGAAACGAAAAAAAAAAGAAAGGAGAAAAAAAAAAAAAAAAAAAAAAAAAACCAAGAACAGGGGGAAGAAACAAAGCTTACGAAAATAAAAAAGCAATTGATCATATCCACTTTGGATAACTTTGTTTCCCGCCCAAAACGCCGTCCGATTGATGAAGCCGGGTATATCCAGCACCGTGATGCAACATGTACTGAGAATGAATAAAAAGAGATCAAGGGGAGGGGGAAGCCAAGATAGACATCGAGTACCCGTCACGGCCTTGCACAGTGGCAAGACTCGGCTCGAGCCATCACCCCATCACCCCTAGGTTAATATGGGCAGAATTGGTGTTTGGTGTTTCATCGAAAAAAAAAAAAATAAACAGAAACAGCTTTTGGTTGATACGAAGTGATCATAGAATCCATTTCGTCATCTGGCCCCGATGCCGAACATGCCTACCCCGTAGCTAGCACTTCTTTCAGACATGGGGGTTGACACCTTAGCGACGTGGTCCTGATTAGATTAATTTTTATCAACAGGGTTGGTCACTGTCCATGGGAATGCAATACCTTCTTGCGTTTCTTCTTCCCAGTTCCCTCGCCATTCGAGTAGAATCCGGGGTCATCATCATCATCCACAAACCCTTCGCCATAGCCGGCAAAGCTATTATCATCGTAATGTCTCTTGCGACCTCTGCTAGGCCGTGGCCGTTCTGCTTCCTGTGATCGTGGAGATGCGGCATAGGATTGAGTAGAGGGACGACCAGCAGTTGGGGCTAGGGCAGCCTTCTTGCCAGTCTCGCCTGGCGCTGGATTCTTGGCCTGCTTTTCATGACCCAAGATATCTTCCCAGAAATCATTGTTAGGAATGGGTCCTGGTTCCATTTGCATAGCCCGCAATTGAAGATTTTGTAGCGCCGAATCCATGTCTGAAACCTTGATGGCCTTGCCATGCACCTTCTGGTTCTGCCATTCCTCTTCAGGCCATAGAGTCATGTACCTCAGACTGCCAGGAGCACCAATTTCCTGCTTGAGGGGTTTGTTCCGTCCAGCGAGTCCCAGCCCTTTCAGCTTTCCTTCGTATGATTTCCTGAGCCGGTTGATCTTCTCCCCTGTCACGGGATCCATGCGTGCTACCGAGTGCGCGATTGAGCCTAACCCATAGAGAGAAACGAGATCCACTGACGGGTCTGGACCAGTAACGATCGGAGCTGTCAAGGAGTAAAAAGCAGTGTTAACAACTTCAGTTCCTAGAATGTGCAAGATCAGTGCATTCACGCAGCTGCATGTAGCAGATGCCATGATGCATTTTGGGGAATCTTACAGCTCTTGCAAAGATGAAAAGCCGAGGTTAGCTCTTTCTGAAGAGAATCCAGATCAAGACTGAGGGTATCTGCCCGGCGAGTCGGCTCTGTATCTACATCCATAGCGTCGGGGTCTGTCGAGTGCTGACCCTGCCCGGTGGCAAAATTGTTATTGCTTTCTGTTTGTGAGGACTGCCGATCGTGGTCGGTGGGTCTGTGTTGTGTTGGTTGCTGAGCGGGACGTGCTCCCGAGATTTCTGCCGAGTCTTGTATCCCCATATTGAAAGATTTTCTCCCCTGATCCACATCCTCCGAGGTCGCATTCGCAGGATTACCACTGACACTGCTGGCGGGAGTAGGGAATGAGTTGGTTGTGCTCATTGTGGGCTGCTGGGAGACTTGGGTAGACATCGGCGTAGAGGACGGGGGGGAGGAGATGTTCGAAGGTTGGACCGTCGCCTGATTCGGTGATGTATGCGAGGATATGAAGTTGGCGGCATGACTTTGTTCGCTCACCGACATCAACGGAGGAGATGTCGGGGTCTGGGGGATGTGCTCCGAAGAAATGGGTAACTGATGATTCTCTTTCAGAGACCCGGCGGCGGGCGAGGAAGGTGAAGGAGGTCTTGCTTGAAAGGATATAGGGTGAGTGCGATCAGACATGAGAGCCCGAGGAAAAGTTCAGCATGCAGAGACGGTATTAACCAGAGCGGCTCTGGATCCGAATCGCAAAGTTTGATACCAGTGCCTGGAGAGGGGGGTCCCGGTCACGATCGACGGTCACTCAAGCAGGCGAGCAAGTCATTCAACGGGCGGACTAGATCATCTGCATTCCAAGGGACTGGAGTGAATCCCTTTAAGTGGTACAGATTGGGTGGCTGATGAGTGGCTGTGGTGAAGGAGAGTGATGATGGAGAGACAATCCTGTGGTCAAAGCCGGCGAGGATGACGGCGAATTGATCCATTCACGTGACCGGTCTTGGCCCGATGTACTTTATCTGGCACCTGCATTGTAGATTCTATTGATTTATGTACCGAGTATGCATTCATGTATTCATGTATTCATGCATTCATCTATTTATTGTGATTCTCTTACTTGTCTCTTTATTCTCAATACAATGCGACAAAAGGAGGGCACCAATTGAGGACTGCAAACAATCATCTCCTTAGCGAGTGGCGAGAACAATAAGTCGCCCAACAACAAACTTTATTCAAAGGCACATATTTACCGGGACTAAATTCCCGATGATTGATCAAATATTCACTGTATTGATATAAGAATGGGGAATATGTAAATCAGATTACATGTCGCACTCTTTAGATGTTAGTGGCGGATCGGATCCCCCGTCTTATCTGCGCCCATTATTATCCCAACCCGCCAAGTCATGAAAGAAAAATATATCAAATGGAACTTGAAACAATTGAAAAATGGTATCTCTTTTACTATTGAAAAACTATTCACCGAGAAAAACAATGTCAGGTGGTCTCAGGCCTTTCTCGGCATGGGCGACCTCTAGCCCGATTGGTAACATGACCATTAAAGAAGACATATTTCATTGATGTCAGAAGATGAGCCAGCCCAAGACAAAAATGGCAGTGATATATCGGGAATCAGGAATCAAAACACAATTCCCCACTAGACGCCAAAGCTCTTCAATACGAAATGATCCCCGCACACAGAATGAGACCGATTGCGTCAAACCCTCAGGACTGATAGTACGCATTATACTCATTAACCAGTTGGGCAGATACATCGGGTATATTGTGTTCGAGGGAAGCCAGAAGCTCAATTTGCTCTTGTTGACTGAGGGTGCGCTCACGCCATGAAGGTACCGGAAAGGGCTCATTAAAGTACTGAGAGTACTGGTCTCCAATGGAGGTGGACCAGTTCATGGGATCGACAGTTGCATCGGTGTATGCCAAGTGACCCGCGGTTGTTGAGGCAAGTGAGAAGTTGGGATCCCAGCCTTGCAGGCCAGGAACAACTGAAGGTATCGTGTTGTAAGGGGTGTTCGGGTCGATTGATACATCGGGGTAGAGTGTCGGCCCAACGTAGGCCTCTGACGTATAATGTGGTGCCACAACGTGGGCTGTGAGTGGTGGGTGCATGTCGAATGCAGAAGAAACCGACGGCATTTGTGGCTCTTTGGACGGCGGAGGGACCACTGCAGGTGGGGTTGATTCTTGAGTGAATGTAGGATCAGCCGATTGTCCCCTGGAATAAGTACCGTTTGAGGCGGTATCGCCAATTGATAGGTTGCCTGCACGGTGTTTATTGGAATAATAGGAAGCGGTCGTACTGCTTGACGGGCTGGACATCGCTGGAGGGGTCATTCCCTGGGAGGATGTTGGTGTAGGATGGTTAGAAGGCGAGTGTACAACAAACGATTCTTCTGTCCTGTATGCTTTCAAGCACGCAGCAACAAGGCGCCTGTAAAGAAGGTAGGCAGATTGAACACCCGGCCAACGTTCAGCGGAAAATACAATGACTTCAAGGGCCATATCCAGGTGCCCTTGGACTTCCTCAATGGTGTGCTCTTTTCGAATTTCGGGATATGAGAGGGTCCAAAGCACGGTATTTAAAGCCATGAAGAGAGCTTGCACAAATACCCATGTCAGGTCGACAGATCCAGTGATCATCTGTTCCTTATGCATGGCAATATTGAATATGGCTGCATCATAACAGGTTTTGGCGGCATGGACGGTTGGCTCGGGGATCTGCGGCGAGGGACGATACATGAGAATAATAATGGTGTTTCCTCTCCCTTGAAACCTGTAGAAGTAACTGTTAGTAAAGTGGCATTTCAGGAAAATGAGAATATCAACCAACCATTTCACATTGAGCCCACTGCCATCGTCGTTCTTAGGGGTAGTGGCCATCCAATGGTCAATTTTGGCCAACATTTGAGAAAACCATGGATCCTGATCATCAACTGGGCTCTCTCGTCTGTTCGAGTAGAGCATTCTCCTGGGCTCCAATTGGAGTAGTCGCATTTTGAAAAAGTGAACTGCAATACACTTTGCTAGAACGGGTTTCGCTCCAGGGGTGATCCCCTCGGCAGTGATGTACCGGTCGTCCACTAATTCAAAGAATTTCACATTGATATGGTCGTGGCTGACGCAGTAGCTGCTGCATCGACCCAGGCTATGAGAAAGACCGAACTCCATTGATGAGACGATCCAAAATAACCTTCGGCGCATGTCGATCTCCAAGGGATTCAATGCTTTCCCACACGGTGATTTGGTGACGGTGGCTTCTTCGGTCAATCCCAAGTCCTGACAAAGTTTGGCAGCCGTCCCCACGACCCAGTACGCAGCTGTGCGAGTGGGCGTTACCATTGAATATGAGGCAATGAGGACGAGACATTGTAGAGCCCCTAAATCCATTCGTTTGAGCGTGGGTTCCAGGTAGGGCAAGGCCGCAAGATAATAACTATCAGCGAGGCCAGCATATTCTGTACTCATTTTCTGCATACTGATGGCAATGACCATCCGCAGTTGGAAGTTCTTGCAGGGATCTGCGGAGCCATCGAAGACCTCCTCTACCTCTTGTCGAAATGTAGGCTCGTGCAGGAGGGGAAGTAGTGCTTGTGCTATACAACAAGTCAGTCACATGAGCTACGAGGGAAAGAGTCCGAGCAAAGTAATCGCGGTACCTTTGGCCACAAAAAGATCAATCAATTTATAGGTCAGGGCCTTTGGAGGTAGGTTGGGTTGTGGGATCGAGCTTATCATGGGATATACTTTTGATGTTGGCTTCGAGTCTTCTTTAGCAAACGCGTCTTTGATCTCTTGTGCGGTGAATTCGGGAACAACATCCTTGATGCTTTTTGAATCGGTGTTCTGCTTCGCCATCTCCATGACCAAACGAGTCATAGCGATGCCACTTGAGGCACCAAGGTATCGCGGCTCATCGTTCTCTTTGAACCGGATGCGCCCGGCGCCTCGCACCATCAACTCGGCATCGGCAGCATGTTGTATCTCATTCTCAGCTTTGGCAAGCTCTTTTTCTAACGCCCGGGCTTTCTCTCTGAGCGATACGATATAGGTTCGAGGTATAGTTGAATCTCGGGCCGAGTCATAATACACGCACTTGGCATTGCTTCGTTCGCAGGGCGCACATCGTGGAATTCCGGGGTCGCATCTGGACTTTCGCTGCACAGAAGGTTGGTCAGTTCCGAAATAGCACCGCAAATGAAAGAAGAAAAAAAGGCATGACCAAGGGACAGAGGGACGAGAGATCCGAGATGGTGGGGACGGGGAGGTGGAGAGAAGGGACCAATGACGCATCCATACCTGTCTACACCTTGTGCAGGCGGTTAATGTGTGAGCGATACGACCGTCTGGTGGCTCTAGGGAGTGTAATTCTGGTGACTTCAACCCTGTGGAGGAGTACTCGGGACTCGAGGTCATGGTGGGCCAAAAAGGGTATAAAAGATGAAAGGAAGGTCAAGAAAGGACCAGTCACATCATCCGCGATTTTATACCCAAGGTACCTTTCGAATATCAAAATTGTGAACAGTCGACATGATGAGGCTCCCGGGGCCTTGACAAGGGGGGAGTTCGGAGTTTTGAAGATATGAAGAGAAGAAGTCTGGAAAGGGAATGGGGCCACCGTGATTTCCAAGAGAGGGGCCTCGGTCCAGATCTGGAGAAAAGGTTGGGCGTGGGACAAGGTGAGGTGGATATTTATGTGGAGGCACAGGGCAGCTGAAAAAAGAGAAATTTTGTAATATTAGATATACAAAGTACGAAGTACAGGTGTTTTACAAAGTACTCCGTACTTTAATATAGATTAATATGTGAGATCTATTTAAGAGGACTTAAGAGGATTTAATAAACATATTAATAGACCAAATCAATAGGCTGAACACATAGCTCCTTCACAAATTTAGAGAACGGGGAGATTCTCGCCAAAAAAAAGTCCGTGCGGTTCCACCGATCTCCCTCCCCTCCAATTCCTGTCCTATAACAATCCGTTTCGTGTAAAAAGAGACATTTGCTTTCAGTGGAGTGATTCTCTTTTTCAACGTCTTCGGCCAAGGCTTATTTTTTGGATTACCTTAGTTGCTAATCTTTTCCCCTCCTAGGGATCAACTTATGCAGGTTCATTCCTTTTGGCTTTGTACTAAAGATACCTAGGTATCTCCTCCATTTCACATCACGTGAGTGTCTATTGCCCGTTTCGGTGTTGAGTGGAGATGCAGGGGGGGAAGGAGAGTGGGGGTCCCATATCCTCGAATTTGCTAACCCGTAAATGATCAGTATAATGAACAGATATGTCTGTTATAGCCACCACCTTCTTGGATAATCCTTTGCTCAAGGTGAGTCGTCCAGTCGCTGCTTGCTCGAGATGTCGGACCGCGAAGATCAAATGCGACGGCAAGCTCCCCGCATGTTCGGCTTGCGAAAGAGTCGGCAAGGCGACCACTTGCTCCGGGGCAAGTGATGAATTCGCCAAGGGAAAAGAAAGAAGTTATGTCGCGTCACTAGAAGGATATTGTGAGAAGCTGGAGAAAAAGATCAGTCAGATGCGTGCTCGATCAACCTCGCTATCTGCTGAGGGTGATGGGATCCCTCGGGAGATGTCGATCACCTCTGTCGCGTCCGAAAGTGCATTGAGCTCGGCGCACCGCAGAGAGGTTTCGGATATTGACGATTTAGTTGGCGATTTTGGTTTCTTGTCAGTATGGCCGAATTGCTTTTTTTTACTTTTCTTTTCTTTTTTTGTTAGCCCGCTGACATTTGAAAAGGTCCGTTAATGCGACCTCGCGTGACTTCCACGGCATCACATCGAATACCTCCTTCGCCAACCTTCTCCTCTCAGTCGCTCTAGCCAATTCCTCCCCACCATCCTCTCCATATTCACTACCTGCACGGCACGAAGCGACACCATTGCTACAATACTATTTCGATAATGTTTTTGTTCAGCTGCCTTTCTTTGTCGAAACGAGCTTCTGGACCTCGGTTGATGCCGTATATCAGTCAGGCGGCCGGTTTGCCAAACCGTTCGACCATTGGATGATCCGCATGGTTCTTGCCATTGCTTCAGCATCAGTGTCATACCACCACAATGATAAGAACCATCAAAGGGCATGGGCTCTCGTGTCAGAAGCTTTGACTTATGCCGAGGAAGTCCTCCGCCCTGGGTCAATCACGGGAATCCAAGCAATCTTACTGCTTGCTCAATATTCTTTGGTTGACCCAGTACGCTTCCGTAGTTGGTATTTGGTTGGAATGGCTGTCAAGGTTGCGATTGATCTGGGCTTGCATCAAGATCCTCCTGCTGAAGTTTCGACCAATCCTGATCGACTTGATATTCGTCGGCGTGTGTTTCATTGCATATATTGTCTAGACAGGTTTGTTTTCATTGTGTTCCTCGATTGCCACCCTGCTAATCTTTCGCTACAGAGGATTGAGTCCTGCTATGCAGAGAACTTACTCGTTCTCCGACGGTTCTGTGAATGTTGCATTGCCATCAATTACCGCACCAGGGGCCCCTATAGAACAAACTCACATTTTCTTACGCAACCCGGCCCCTGCTTTGCATATCATTAAAATCCGACAGATTCTGTCCGCGGGCTACCAAGAAATGCACTACAGTGGACGCGATCCATCCCCACAACCCCTGGTCCTCATTTGGACTCTGTGCTGGCGAGCCCGGGAGTGGTTCCACCAATGCCCCCAGAATGCTCCCAACCATTTTTCACTTCTATATCGACTGGAATTATTATACACCATTATCATCTTGCTATCCCCTTCACACCGATATCCAACCCTCCACGACTACAACAAAGCTCTCCTATTCGACCGGTGCATGGACTACATCAGCCAAATCCACCAGGTCCTAGAAAATCCCAGCGCTCTACCCTTCCTGACATACCTGGACATCCAGCGCGTGCACCAAGTGGGCCGATTATTTGTCGATGTTCTGTCAGACAATTACGACAAGCTCATTAGCGCCGCTGTTCCCGCACCCCCATCCGTCCCCGCTGGGACCCCAGAACCGCCAGTACTGGATGCCGAGGACTTGTTCAATTGTCACGCACGTGCCATCCGCTGCCTATCCTATATTCGTGACATGCTCAGATATTGTGATAGGAAGTGGGACATGCATGGACATCTAGAGCAGTTCGAGGACGAGTCTGCCTCCATAGAGAAATCTCTGATGGATGGCTCGATGGGCTATATGTCGAATCAGGGGATATATTCTCAAGACCCGTTGTCGGGGATACCGCTGGCCGGCGATGCATACCCGGGGTACCATATCGGGCTGTGAAATCATTTTCTTGTAACATTTGGGCATATGAATTTGGAAAAAGAAATGAGCGTGATTCTTTTTGTGTTTGTGAAATACCCCTCCACCTGCTGTGCATAATGAATAATATATACTGCGAATTGGTCCAGTAAATGGATCAACTACGCACTACTAGCACTTAACTGGATATTACTTCGAGCTGCAGCAGACCCCAACTTTTCTTCTATATCATGGTGATCTAGCATTGCCGAGCGCGTCTTTGAGGACTGAAAAGCCCTCGGATATGACATGCACTTACTAGACATCGGGGACGGATTCGACAACACTAACTGAAAGAGAATGGTAGATCCCTTGCGTGAGGTGCTTGCGCCGAAGTTCCCAACCAGTGACTTTGAGAGCGGATCCGGTGCGCTCCTATGCCCATCCGTTCCTTACGGTAGTCTGCTAACTGATTGCGCGCCGGACTCAGAATAACGTCGACCATATGGGGATCATCAAATTATTGTCCAAGCTTTTCCGCCTACCAGCCGACCTGGCTACAGTATTTTTTTTCTGACAAATGAGACCAACACACATCCAAGGATATGCGCTCAACACAGCCAAATCACCAAATTCAACCCTATGCCTTCATCGTCCTCTCAATGATGGTGGCCATGTCTGTGATGACTCGCTCCGTGGTCTCTACGGGGCTAAAATGAAACTTATCATTAGCTGCAGCTCAAACCGAAGTTAAATATAAAAAAAGGACTGCGAACCAAGATACTTGAGCTCGTTGCTCCATGAGTGTTGCTTGCGATAGCAGTAGATGACGGGATAGGAGTATGAACAAGCGTATACTCATCGACGTGGGATGGAGCACACCCTCCAAAGGTGAAGCCGGGGTTTGGGGCAATGCTCAGTGGCGCTGAGTGGTATAGATCACACTGTTTTCCATGCTCGACATGGAGCCAAGCTTGACAATTATCCACCCTACCGCACCAGTTCAGACAATCGGTAGCGGTTTCAATGTCATAACTGAAGGTGATTGCAGCACGGCTAGAGAAGGAGATTGTCGAATTGTGGACATTTGTCCAACATTCAGATGCAGCTTGAACTCCAGTGAGGGCCAGAGCAGTGGCCAGGAAGATTGACGCGTAGATAGAAGTTATCATATCGCTGATCAAACAAGAGAGAATGTGTGACCTGGTCAACCACGGACGGCGTTAAGTAAATAGAAAAAAGTCTTCCTCATTTGAATCCTCCTCACAAACACCCTTGCCCTTTTTCGGCGTATCGCCGGACTACGAAAGCTATCCCCCCACTCCTCTTGGTATACGCCCGTACCTGCAATCTAAAACGGTCGGGTTCTTTGTTTTGTGACCCACTGTTCCATGTAATTCTTCCAATGGCGATATAATAAATTGTAGATACATATTGCAATTGATGGTGCGCCGCCCTGTAAGTAAGCTAAGCTAAGTACTCCGTAGTGACCGAGTGAAAAGGGTTTAGACACTAGCGACCCTGCGACGGAAAAGAAAAGTGGATATGTCTTTCGGAGAGCCTTGCCAATGCCTGGACTCCGAGGATGAATTGGACCCGAAGATTACCCAATGCAATGAGTACTCGTAGTATGTACAATCAAGACACCATATACAATAGAGTGAGGCCACCAGCACTAGTTGACACAGCGTATATCATAGCCTATTTTCGCCGGTCAAACCGTGCTATCCACAGAAATTGCTTTTTTACAAGCTTCTTTCCAATTTAGGTGCTAGCAAAGATATTACAAGTAACCTAAGGCTACCGTAGCACCAAAAAAGGAACTATCCGACACTAAATTATATTCCAAGTGGGGGAGTGACCCGGAGGCAAACTCTAGCCCTGAGTGCGACTATATGGGCTTTGGCGGACCTCATCTCATTTCGCAAAACCACTCATTGATTAGTAGATCTTGGCAGTGTCTAAATGTAGTTAAAGCCTTCAAGCTCTGGATCAAAGACATGTGACTAACTATATCCCCGACTGTCCCTTGTATAGAATAGAGGGTGGTTAACTTCCGCAATGAAGATATCCATCATTCCATCATCTAGAAAATAATCTACAAAGTACAAAGTCAAAGTACAAGTACAAGATGCAAAAGTCAAAAAAACTACAGCACGAGCCTCAGCGGGGCCGGAGGATGCCGATCCGCGGCCCGGATCCCGGAAGCAACTGATTGTTGGCCATAGTTCTTAATAAAAGCCATATCAGCAAAAATAGTGTCTATTCCGTAGTCGATATAGTATTCCGGTCCTGTCATATAGATTCTGTACTTGGTCGATGCTCTTCTTGATCCGGTCATTACCGGGATTGAGCGAAATTTAGGTGGCGCTTGACACTAGCCCTAGAAGGTTACCAGATGACTCTCTTGCTGAATTAGCGTCGGCACCATGCAAATGCTCCACGAGGAAATTAGCCACTAATTTTCAAATGGCCTTCTTAGCAATTAATTCAATTGGCTATGAGGGTTGGTTTTTTATGTGACCCACTTCAAATTTCCCAAGTGCTTTAATTATTTACCTATGTTGTACCGCTGATTTTCTCTATGTTGTATACCTGCTATTTAGCAACTGTCACTCCTTATACTACTCCGTACCTTGTTTCTGAATGTTTGCGTTGCCCTAGCCAATCTCGTGTGTTTCTCGATTTTGCCAGAAAGGAGCAAGGAATACAAAATTATTGGGCTTATCAGTAGCGCAATTTAGTCAACTCCTTCCCAACGGGAGGGTGTACCCCGACTCTCTATTGGGATGAAAAATGTGCTACCATTCGAGATCTGTAGAGTAGGCGTGAGAGAACGCAGTTGGTTCCGGGATTAAATAAACAGATGTATATATATCGTTGCTCGGGGTGTTGATTCTTATTTCATTCTTACAGATGGAATACAAGAGACTTCCCATGTAATATGAGGTCGAAGTTGATTGTCAATCAACTTGGTTCTTCGTATATTTACATCGGTCGAGCATTTCTCTTTAGTCTTGTCCAAGGGGCCATCTGCCTGTTTCATTATCTCATCATTCTTTTATCATCTAGCGTTCGACTAATAAAATGAAATATTCCATCGGCTGTTCGTGGATCAGCGTCTTGTCGACCCCCAATTCCCCCAACACCGTCGCAATATTCTCCAGCATAGTCGTTTCCCTTCGCACAATGCATCTCTTTCCCTTGAATTGGTAGCTGCGTTGGGCCCCATGTTCAAGCAAACAGCGGTGTCTTATACCACGGAGAGGTCCGTTTCGCCAGGGAAGACCCTTCGCGACATAGAAGCCGTCGCAACATATCCAAACTCCCACTTTTGATGGCCTCATCAAAACAAAAAAACCAAAGGCACTGCATCTCCACCCTCAAAAGATTTTTACTTCTACATGGAGGTATTGACCTATATACATCTATGTTTACATACAACTATGTGGTTCTTGGGTTTCAGTATGAGTGTCCCCTCGTCTCAGCATTAGCTATATCTAGCTTCGCTGGAAACATGGTAATTTTTCTTTCAAACCCGATCTATTATGTCTGAGATAAATCTCAAGTCGACAAAAGGTTCAAGTTGTTTGTGGTCTAAATATCGAAGAATCCAATATTCGTGAAAGCGGTAAGACCAGGGCCTGCTCACTACTAAATTGGGAATGCAGTTAATTGCCTTGTTCTGGCGTCTCTGGAAGACTCAAATAGTAGCTCGGTGTCCCAACATATTTATATGGGGTATCCCTCGGGCCCCTAAAGACGCCATCATCATCGACATCTTTCTGGATATCTTGGATTTTTATGTGGGATTCAGGATCATATATCGATATTGCCATTCCATTCGCAAATTCAGGTGCGAGTCGGACACTAAGCACGCAGGTATCATTCCCTTCGCCTTGAACTTGAACCAGGAGCAAGGTGTGATCTCTAATCGTCTGGTCGTCCGCGATGTAGAACAAGTTTGCTGCTACTACATTTCCAGTGACGCCTTCTCGAAGAATACGAACAACATCGTCGATGTGTTTCCCGTGGAATGCAGATTTCTCGTAGCAGTCATACAAGTGCATGGCGGGGCTTGCATATTCTTCGATCTCTGAGTCAGATTCAAGGATACAGAGGCTCTCTGGTCGGAGAGAGCTTCTCTGATAGGCTGTGAAGATAATATGGGAAAGTATCTATGAATATCAATCAGTCAAGAATCTCGGATGCTTATAAAAGGGACTCTCTCACATTTGGTGGAATATGTTGTATACGGATAATTGGGAATAACACGTCCATTGGTGCAAGCTATGGGATGGAAGAAGATGATACCCTAGCTGTGTGGCTGTGTGGGTTGGGGACCACACTACAACCCCCAGTTGTTAGTCTTGGCTCGGAATATGGACTTATAGGACTCAGGGTTCAAAACTCCGTTTGTAGGTGGGTATTGATGCCTGAATGCTTTTGTTTAGCACCGCCTTTTACACCGCTCTATACAGTGTATGGTAAATTTATTAATACTGCAACTGTCAAAAATAAAGCTTTTGCCCCTATACAAATGAAACTATCTTCATACAAGAATAGTCGGCCGCATTTGCGGCCTTGTGATGTCTTTTTAGATGGTCTTTTTAGGATAATTGTTTGAGATATCAAAAGATTCATTTTTGGACCTAAACGCGACCAGAATCAGTGTACTGTGATTATGAAGATATGTGTAATAGTAATTCAGGTATATTAATTTTTCTGCCGTTTTAAAGTCCGGCATTCAAGCACTAAACCACCTTACCTTACAAAAGAGGTTTTGAACCCAGAGTCCTATTAGTCTTCGTAGACTGCGTGCCAAGTCAACCCCCAAAATTCCTTTTGGATCAACGAGATCGATAAATTCCTACAATCAATGCCTAAAAAACTGGTGATGGAGCAGATCTGTCAAAGACGCCTTTTAAGACATTTGACTATCCCGCAGAAGCAAGTTTCGATCGTCACACTTGTGAGCCGTGTTGAAAACGATAAAAGTAGCCTTCGAATCGCGGACGAGGAAATTGAATCGATTCGTACCCCCCCTGTCGAACTCCTAGATCATGTAGTTAGTTATGTGCATGACACATGGTGAAGCCCGGCAAGGACGAAATGCGCCGATAGAAGATTGTTAGATACAGGAAGGGGAAAAACTAGGAGAAGTAAGGTCTTAGTTAACTCCTACTCTTGTACAGTAGTAGCTGTTATTTACTCTCTCTTCTAGGAAAAACGTGGCAATAGCTGTCAAGCATCCTTCGTACCTTTGTGGCTTTCCCTCTATTATTTCCTCTAACATGATACGAGAAACTATGTACCGTATACCTTCGACACCAATGAAGTGATTGACAATAATTATGAGCCTTGCAAGCGATACAATGGAAACCCCAGCCCGGGAATACCGCTTGGGCACTAAAGAATGGGGCATGAATAATACCCACGAAGTGCTTGGGATTGGAGCAGTTTCCATCGAAGGGATCTTCAGATCTGCATGGCCTCGGGTTCGTTCCATTTGTCCTGCGAAGATTCAGTTTCGTATCATAGGCTTCTAGTCTCTTAAATGTCATTTCTGATGCGTATTTTTCCATAGAGCCGATGGTCCCCTGCACCCTAATCCCAGTTTGTTATACAGCGGAATAACCAAATAAAAGTTTCTTATAATCCTTACTATCTATCTCCATATATCCCTTTCCTTTATATTTATAGGCCTTTAGGGAAGTAGCTAGGGTCACACTAGTAGTAAATACTCCTTACCCTATGGCGAGTATGTCAGGATGTGCCACCAATATCCAGGTTCCCGGCAAACCCCAATGCATAAATAAATCAAACAAAGAAAAATACCCTCCTGGCTGATACAGGTAGGTGGCACTCAGGCTTGGAAACACGATCTTGGAACCCAAGTCCTGGCAGTGGCTGACGGTATATGATATTCAGTCAAGTTAAGTTTGAACATATCCTTTGTTCCGATAAATCTTAGGGGTCTTAGCGGCCAATATATTCCGATCAGCCAATGAAACCCCGTCTCTGCGGCTTTTCAATCGAGGGAACATCGAGGGAACATGGTTTGGAGACTTGGGGTTTTGTAATGGAAAGGGGGTCCCTAGAAGTTTATACTGTGGTTGTTGTCTATAAATGACCAATAAGGTACCTTGAATTTCGGTTAAGTGGAGATGGGTCGGCAATTATGCCGGCTGATTGGCAATATAGACCCATTTCAAAGCCAACATACGAGCTCTTTCAGGTAGGTTGATTCCCCTGAGTGGTGCCCTGCAGATCATTCTTTGTTCATCGTGGAGTCCCCACTCTAATTTCCATTAAATGACATCAGAGCGAGAGTGAGAACAAAAACAGGTCTGGAAAATAATAATGGAGATGCTGGAGCGAAGGCCCTAACACAAATGATCCCCTTTTTAAAGTGGGCTACGAATATCAGGGGGTGTTAACTGTCATGGAGGTACTCTATTGATATACATCGTATATTGATTATATCTAAGATTGAACCGCGCGGAAGGAATCAAATCTCATTTACCGACAAAATCTTGGAACGAAAACAAATTTTATGGTTAATTCACGGAGTTATTCGGCTCCATGGTCAAGCCCCTCGAGTATAAGCTCACACTAGCCTAATCTACCAAATAAACCTCGAGGCTCCATGCACCCTAAACATGGGCATGCAGATCTCAATTTGAACCTTTTATCCGGTAGTCTCCGGATTAATGTTTCCATTTCAACAATTCTACGATTTGGGATTGTCCATTCAATAATTTAATACATGAAACCCCTCTTTCTAGGGCTTGAGTGAGAGGTTCAAGAAACTATATCGAATGTTACGGATAGGATTCAGCTACAAGTGCTGGGGTTCGACAATGAGCCCTATATCTTTGATATTTCTTGCTTTCCAAGACCCTGGCAACAATCCTCATCTAGGCAGGACCCTCTGCTGACCCTGTTATGGCTGATTCGGTCCATCTCGGCATAATGAAGATGCCAGTCCCCACTCAACACCTCTATGGGACCATGTACGTTATGATCACCCTATTGAAATTGCGCCAACTATGGAGCTGACCCACCAGTCTATGATACTGCTGCTTCCTTGAAAAGCTATGAAATTTTGGTCAAAGGACAGGGGCAAACAAGATCGTACCTGTAGATCCCATTCCGTTCGTTCATAGCATATAAATACAGTGTTCCTTTGAACTCCCAAAGGTTTCTTCTTCTCCCAAGCTTCTTACCACAGTCATTCTTTACGCAAACTTCAGTCCCTCTTTTCTGTTTCTATATACCCATTAATTTCACAATGAAGGCCTCTTTCATCGCTACCTTCGCCGCTCTGGCCGGCTCTGCTTTCGCTGCTCCCACCCCCGTTGGTGATCTTGATAGCCTCCTCAGTGGCCTCAAGGTTGGTGACATCACCAAGGAGCTCAAGCTTAACGAGCTCCCCGTTGTCTCTAAGCTTGGTGACGTGACCAAGGTCCTGAACCTTCCCTCACCGGCCTCCCCCTCTGCCAGCGGTGTCCCCGCTGTCCAGGATGGCCACCTCGTCCAGAACCTCGGACCCCAGCTCGACAACATCCTGACCGTTGTCGGCCCTGACGCCACTACCCTGCTCATCGAGCTCTCCCCTGAGGTTACAGCCCTTGTCTCCGGTCTTGGTCTCGGTGCCCTTGGTGTTCCCCTCGGTTCCATCGTTGCCTCCGCCTCCGGCGTCGGTGCTCTTGTCACTGGCCTTGGCCCCGTCGTCGATCATCTCGTCACTGTCGTCGGCGCTGACGTTGGTGCTCTCCTCATTAGCCTCTCCCCCGAGGTTGCTGGTCTTGTTTCCGGCCTTGGTCTCCCTACCGTTGGTGTCCCCGTTGGTACCGTCGTTGCTACTCTCGGCAAGAACCTCAAGCGTGGCGAGATTGTCCAGGACCTTGCCCCTAAGGTGAAGACTACCCTGACTGTCACCGGCCAGAACGCCAAGCAGCTGCTCATCGAGCTCTCCCCCTCCGTCACCTCCCTCGTTGCTGGCCTCGGTCTGACTACCATCTCCGGCCCCATTGGCTCCATCGTCGCTGAGGCTGCTTCCGTCGGTGACCTCCTCAAGGACATCTCCGGACCCGTTGAGGACCTTCTCCACATTGTCAGCGAGGACGGCAAGAACCTCCTCATCAAGCTGTCTCCCTCTGTCGTGGCTCTTGTTACTGGTCTCGGCCTCCCCACCGTTGCTACCCCTGTCGGTGCCATCCTCACCACCGTCGCTCAGAACCTGTAAACTCTTTACAGGCAGCAGTATCACTCTAGTTGAGTAAGTTCACTTGCGTGTGGATCCAACATCGGTTCTACGTTGGTTACCGCTCGGTATATGATCACAACAATTTATTATATTCATGTATACAACCTCTATGTTATTTAATAAATAAGGGCGGCTAAATATTCTTCGTATAATGATAGATTTTTTACGGACGTCTGGAATCAGTTTAAGTAGTTCAAAGTCGGAACAGCTTTGACATAGAAGAATCTTTGACCGGAATCTGTCCAAAGCTTCTGTCTCATGATAAATATATCTACTCACGACTCGGAATCCAAATCACGAGAGGTCATAACAGATATAGCTTCAGATTGCACCCGTCGTGATGTCTCCGTACGCCGGGATTGAATAGTTGCCGAAACAACTCTCATCATACTTCGCCTTTACAATGTTTTCCTTCTGGGCTTTGATGAACGTCTGCAGCTCGCACCATCCGTCATCCCGCACCCCGCACTCTGAGATACTGCCTCCGAGAGGGATTGTCCTCTGGTTCATTAACATATGCACATAGGTTGTTTCACCCCCCTTGGACTCATATGCCGAGACCTGAGGATCTTCCGAGCGCTTCCCATGTACGGGCCGCGGGGCTTTGATCACCTCTATAGTGAAGCGGCCCGCGAATGGAACAATATGGCTGACAATCAGTTGGCGATTCGGCAGCACACTGGAGGTAGGCAGGAACTCCCCAAATTGTGTGAGGCCTAGCGCTGTCAACATCGAGAAAATAGTGGTATCGTGACTGAAGTCCAAATACAAGTTCTGGTTCAAAGGGAAGGTTGTAGGGTTGGTGTCCAATGTTTCATTGATGGCAGCGAAACCCTCGTCCGGATGAGGGTACTGGTGCTGCAGTCGGGCGATGAGCTCTTCGACGTAGCCCACGCCCACTGCCCGTCCGGTCGGAGACGCAAATCCGTTTCCTCCGTAGTAGCTTAGATCAAGGCTATACTCAAATCCCAGCCACTCATCCTTGGTAAAGAGGGAGCAAAAAGGGCTGTACCCCAAGCCCACGGTCTCATATGGACACATCGTCTGGGCATTATAAGTGTCCGCAATTGTCCAGTTTGGGTTGCCCGTCATCGACTGACGGAATCGGTCCGTTGCGCGCTTCAGATATTTCTCCTGCCATTGGGTGCTTGCCCACTCTCCGGCGGCTGACCGATTGTTGTTGTTATTGGTACATGCCTTATCTCCAGCCAGAGGATTCTTGAATCCAGTTTGTTCGATAAGGACTTCCAAAGTGACGTTCTTCGTCCAGTTGGGACCGAAGAAGCCGTTCAGGAAGTTTTCGGCTGACTGCAACATTCGCACTTGAGTGGTCGTACGGGCGATGAGTGGTGAGGAGGGATCATAAAGTTGACCATAGTTAAACCAATTGAGCACACCGCTGTCAAAGAGCTGTTGGCGCCCAAGAGCCGTCAGCTCTTCTTTTCCCAGTTGGTATTCCCAGCTGTTAAGGAACGCCAGGTTTCCAGTAAAGCGAGTCCCATTGCCTAGAAGTTCCGCTATGAGGTCTGGTAGAGTGGCCACAGAGGCACTAGCAGTGGGATATCGAGCTCCGTGTCGATGTACCATATGCATCTGTGTGATATTGGTGCCGGGGGGGAGTGGATATTCTTTAACCCCGAATCCTGAGGGATTTGGCATGTAAGGTCTTGATCCTACGGTTAGTCACGTAGAAAACGGGCCGGTGAGCTCTCCCCATACGTACGAGAGATTACCCATATGTTTGAATATTTCAGCGCCATCAGTCTGTCCAATGATAGGCACATCGGTCACCACTGGGGTGTTGGGCACATAAGAATGTTCCCCAAACGGAGCCAGGTTTGTCTGGGCCAGAAAGGGTGCGCTTCCGGCTTCAGTCGGACCTGTGTTTATATAATCTGTCAACACTTGATAGGCTAATTGGTAGTCTGAATTGGGGAATATATACCAGCAAACGGACCATATGTGGTCTGGAAATAATCTGGGATTGTGGATGTTCCTCTTGGCTTTACGACGCTAGCATTCACGGCTGTCGCGCCAAGAAGTAGAATCTGAGAAGGGACATGCATGATCGCATGAGTATTTCTGGTGTCAATATGATCAATAAATCTCAGCCGTCCCTGTTTGACCTTTTAAAGTGGGACGATCGGACTCACATTGGAATGCGGAGGTGGTCCTAACACCAAACCGTAGTGTCCAGGTACGGCTTTATCATTAGCCGACCCCTGGCGGTGATTTCCGGTCAATTGGCCCCCACGGCGACAATAAAGTGGAGACGATATATCGATCTCGGGATACTCTAAAGGTCACATCCCCGTGGGGCCCCGCGTTTTTCTTTCCAGCGCTGCATGTGACCTTATCTCGCTAACAAGCTTCTTCCCGCATAAACGGCGGATACGAGTGCTCATCTATCTATTGGCTGCCACCTCCTTTTCGGAATCATGTTTCCCTTCCTTTATCAAATGGACCAATTGAAACTCTCCTGTGTACGGTTTAGACGGCCTTTGAAAGCAAAACAGTCACTCATGCTTCAAGACAAATCATCTGTTGGCAGTTTCTTTTCCAAAATCAGCATCATATCAGTGGCCGATCCAAGCCTTTCAAACTTAACCAATTAGCTAACCAGAAAGTAATTTGGGAATAGCCGACAGTCTTAGAGAGATTTCTCGTTTCCTGCATAAATAACCGTTCTCGACTCCACAGGCGAATGTCTTTCCGTGTCCCAACAATCCTTTCTCCACAGCGGCCTGTGATTCAGTTGTATGATTACATTTTCTGCTCTTATTCATATCTGAGGTCTGAGACTTCAGCTCCAAAAAGAACAGTCATGGCCAAGGATGGCATTTCGTCGGCAGAAAATGCCCTGGCGGATATCGAACGCCAGGATTCTGTGCCTATGGCCAAGGCAACCAACAATGCGAAATCAGCTGCTGAAGCCGAGCATAAAATGACCTTGCTACAAGGTATCAGAACCTATCCGAAGGCGATCGCGTGGAGTGTTCTCATCTCCACATGTATCGCGATGGAAGGTTATGATATCAGTTTGGTCAATAATTTCTATGCATTTCCCCAATTCACACGAAAGTACGGCGAATTGACGTCAGATGGCTCCTATCAAGTACCAGCTGCAGTACGTCAAGCCTGTGGTTCCTCCCTTTTCCCCTCTCCCCAACCCCTTTTTTTTCTTCTTGGACTATCAATGGCATCTCTCACGCATGTGTAGTATGGTACTAACAACATTATCGCATATAGTGGCAAGCTGGCCTCAGCAATGGCGCCTATTGTGGAGAAATCATTGGTCTATTGATTAACGGATGGGCTTCGGAACGATTCGGGTACCGCTATACAATTATGACCTCCCTAGCCCTGATCACCGCATTCACGGCTATCTTTTTCACTGCGCCAAACATTCAAACTTTGCTTGCAGCCGAAATCCTTGCCGGGGTTCCATGGGGCATTTTTCAAACGCTCACAGTGACCTATGCTTCTGAAGTGTGCCCTGTCGTTCTACGGGGATACCTCACGTCATATGTCAATTTCTGCTGGGGTCTAGGCCAACTTGTAGGTATTGGAGTCATCAAAGCAATGTTAAATCGGGATGATCAATGGTCATACAAGATTCCATATGGATTGCAATGGATGTGGCCAGTTCCACTCTTTATTGCAATCTTCCTCGCCCCGGAATCACCATGGTGGTTGGTCAGAAAGAACAGGGATGAAGACGCGAAGAAGGCACTCCTACGGCTCACAAATCCTGAACGAAACACGGATTTCAATGCGGACGAAACTATTGCCATGATACGTCACACTACGGATCTTGAAGCGAAGCTTTCAGAGGGAGCCTCATATCTTGATTGTTTCAAGGGGGCCAATTTACGGCGAACAGAGATCGTCTGTCTTGTGTGGGCTATTCAAAACCTCAGCGGCAATTCCTTTTCCAATTACTCTACATACTTCCTGGAACAGGCAGGATTATCAGCATCCAATTCCTATTCATTCGCGATGGGACAATATGGGATTAACATGGTTGGTGTCCTTGGAGCATGGCTTCTCATGTCTTTCGGAATTGGTCGAAGAACGCTATATCTCTATGGCCTTTGCGGACTATCCACAATACTATTTTTGATTGGTTTCCTTGGGCTGGTTCCTAGTGCGCATAAGGACCAGGCATCACTTGCAACAGGTTCAATGATGCTCTGCTGGGCATTGTTCTACCAGCTTTCCGTCGGAACTGTGGCCTATTCACTCGTGGCGGAGATCTCTACTCGTCGACTTCAAATCAAAACTGTGGTGCTTGGTCGCATACTATACAATGTTGTTGCCATCATCTGTGGTGTGTTAACTCCCTATATGTTGAATCCTGCGGCCTGGGATTGGAGTAACTATGCAGGGTTCTTCTGGGGAGGGATTTGCTTCCTTTGCGTTGTATACACGTTTTTCCGAGTTCCAGAAACAACTGGTCGCACTTTTGCGGAACTTGATATGCTTTTCGAAGAGAAAGTGTCGGCCAGGAAGTTTGCCAGCACCCAAGTTGAGGTATATGAAGAACCGGTAGAAGTGTTCGAGCACAATGTCAAAGAATGATGGACACGTACACTGTCAGGTACATTGTGATTGCCAGGAAAATCCCTGGTATTCTAGTTAATAGGGCCGAGAATTTTGATTTGTTCTATCTTTAGCATGTAATAAGGGATCTTTGAATCCATCTACAGTCAAGAGTCTAGGCTCAGCTTGCCGAACCTCCAATCAATGAGAAAAGTGCATTCAACTGCTTTTCTCAAACTTCGTCTAGGTATCTGTATATAAAAAGTCAAAAGACTCGTCAACCCCTAATAGCTTGACCCAGTGTGCTGAAATCTGCATATCCGTTGTTCTTTAGCTTTCAATACACCTTACTCCAATAAATTAGTGCTTCTTCGGTGCCATCTATTGCCCTGCCAATGCAACAGCATCGTTGGAATGAAGCTAGCAACCATAATCAAAGCAGTGACAACACCAGAGCTATTAGCAATCCCGACGCTGTCGAACATGGACGTGAACCTAAAACAGCCATCAGCATGATAACTTTCAAAGATTAGCAATCAGGCCAACTCACCAGAAAGGTCCAATAAATCCCCATGTCGAGCGTATAAAGTTGATAAATACCCCAACACTACCCGCATCCAGGGGATACATATCCACCGCATATGTAGTGAGCACAGTGGTGACAACCTGATTACCGAAAGCAGCAACGCCAGTCCCAACCACCGGTCTGACATCGAATTTCCCAACGGTAGCTTGCTCAGTGCATACCAAGAAAATAACCATGCCAGCGATACTTAGCAGAAACCCAATGTAGCTCAGCCAGAGTCGGAACTCTGGTGCAGGCTTATGGCCAATCTTCCGCGCACGAGTATTCATCCACATATCTGACATGAACCCGCCTAATTGTTCGCCCAATAGAGAACCGATGATCAAGCCGAGGAACATCAAACCGAGTTGTTGGGCGTTGAGTTCAAACTTGCGTTGCAGTAGCTGGGGAACCTCGACCGAGTTCATGACTGAGGCGAAGAGGAAGACCATGGAGTAGGCAATTGTGGCAAGCACAATGGGGATATTTGTAATCAGGGTCAGGGGGTGCCAGAACTCGGTCATCTTGAACGGGGTTGGGTCGATCCGTCGGAGGGACAGGTACTCTGTTTTGAACGCAGATGACGGGGACTGCACGTCGGCACCGATGTAGCGCGTCTCCGGTCCGAAGAAAATGTAGAGGATAAACTCGACAGCATTGGTCTGGGTATGCAATCAGTAATGAAGTTCTAGATTTCTTGGCCGAAGACTCACAATGGCCAAGATCCAGTAGATCCAGCGGTATCCAACACGCTGAGTCACAAATCCAAAAATGAAAGGACCAACTGGCACGCCCAACGTCACCATCAGAGTCCAAACACCCATGTAACGCGCTCTCTCGTGTTTGAAGAATGTCTCCGTGACAACAACACTACCAATAGCCATAGCAGGCGAGATAAAGAATGAAACTAGGGCTCGGCATGCCGCCATGGAAGCGTAGTCTGTGCTCTTTGCACAGCCAACATTACAAACACAGCTTAGTATCAGCGATAGGAGGAAAATCGGGCGTCTTCCAAAACGGTGAGAGAGCGGTTTCCAGAATAATGGGGCACCTCCCAGAATTGCGATCTGCAGAGAGGTCAAGTAGCTGACTCGTTGGATAGAGACTCCTAGATCCTCCGCAATATCTTCATAGGCACAGATAATGGATGCCGCGGTGAAGGTACCCATGCAAGCATGAAACGCGACGAGGCCTAAGTTGGTTGATTTCTGTCGTTCTATCAGCTTGTATTCGGAAAACTATGCCATTCCCACCAACCTTCCATAAGGGCCAATTGTATGGGTCCGCCGGATCCGTACTAGGAATTGGATCAAGGTCCAGAGTTCCATGTCGTTCAATCAAGTATAATTTGTGCGACTCAGAAAGAAGTGTAGCCGAGCTAGAGAGACTAGTAGCGGTTTCCTCTGCTGCGTAATCTGAGCCGTTCTTTTCATGGGAAGCCCCCAACGTAGCATGATCGAGTGAAGCCATAGTGTAGAATACAGTCAAAGATGGAAGGTTGCGTTATAATCACAGCAGAAAGCGAAAAAAAAAAAAAAAAAACCATTGAACAACAGCGATCTATTTAACCCCGCAGACAGGGGGACTCGTAATCGGTATTCCGGGGTAGGACTGCACTGTAAAGCCGGGAAACGTTTCAGGTGGATTCTTCAGTATCCATTCCCCGAATCCCGACGTCCGATTATGACTTTGTCGGAAGTCATAAATATAGAGGATTTACCCCAGAAAATAAAAAAATACGGGAATTGAGTGGCATTTAGGGGCCTCTATGTTATGGGAGTTAATCCATTTGACTGGTGTACCGACTAGTCTAATACCAGGGATAAACCAAATACAAACAGGCCGGCTGAGGTCTTTCAAGGATACTGGGCCTAAGTACTAAACTGCTTACGATTCTCGTCACCCGGTGAGATTCCAATGTACTTTGACAGGGTAAGCCGGCTAAACAGATCGCCGAAAAAGTAAGCATGCCTAGTCCACCAGCTACAAACTCCATTGCGGGCTTTGAACTAAGCTAGGAAGGCCATAGGAGTAATAATCCCTTGTGCTGTTGTTCATAAGAAAGCGTTTCGTTTCATTCTAGATGGCCAAATGTCACAATAGACAGCCACGAGACACAGAGATAACTTATTTGTCGATCATAGCTAGGTTATAATTAATTTTGTCCAAGTTTCCTGTGAGTCTGCATATCTTTTTTCAATTTCATTAGTGATATAAGGTCACACTTTCACATGCAAACCCCGCTGGCGATCATTTTCAGCCAATCCAACAAATTCGTGATTGAAACACTCCTTCACCTCCATGGCTCGTTCACAGTATTCGGGTCGGACCATGCCCCCCAGTGGAACAAGCCCCGTGTCGTGAAGCTGATGAACAATGTCCGAAATTCTCTCCAAAAGATTTATTCCGTCTCCATGTCTGAGTAGCTCCTTTTCTCCGAAACCGACTGAAATTGACTCTTGCTGGTGCGTAATATCAATCCAGCGCGCGATAACTTTGATCAGAGAGTTGCAAAGAGAGAATAGATATTCCTGTTCCCAGCATCCAGGGGTCTGTCTTTAGCTTGTGAGGTGGATCGTTGATATGTTTGTTGCCTTTTAATAGAATCGTTTGTATTTGTAGCATCATAGTAATGCTCTAGAAGCATCTTTTCCTGTGTTTTCTGATCAGGGTATGGCGAAGCTGAAAATTCCAGCATCTGCGGATAGGAACGCTGCAGAAATACCCGGGATACAGCAGTCTGCTGCTAGTCAATAATGCTCGTGTTATGATAGATTTCTGGGTCGACGAAAATATTGTCAAGGTGTAGATCTAGATGCGATATCCTGTTTAGTTGCTCAGAAGTAGAAGTAGGGGCCAAAAATAGAGCGAGTGCCATGTAACTATTGAGCAGGGCAACATAATTGTCTGGCGTTTCTAGGCACTCCATAGACCGGTGATAATTCGTTCTCGGTCTACCATAAGAAATAGCCCATTGAATCTTGTTGTTTCCAATAGCCTCCGCGTAACCCGCAATAGAGTCCCCTAAAGCATGGTCAGCTAAGTAGACGGCCTTCGCGACTCAAAGGTCTACATGGCACTTTCTCCATTGTGGCTTTCTGCTTCTCCCAAGATGTTGAACTGGCCGAAGGTATTATCAGAACGATGGCAGTGTGTCGTTTCCACCGGCCGCAGATTTTGAAGGATGATCCCGTATTGTCTCAATCAATTCATAGTCGCATTGTTTTAGTTCAAGGTCAGATGCATAGTATGTGCACCCGTGCCTCGAAAATGTCACTAATCGCGCAACTTTTGTTTTCTATTAGCTCGCCCATGAAGAAACAAAGGTCTCTACGTACAAAATGCCGAGTCGCAACCTCTGAAGCCGTTGTGAAGAATAATGGGCCTGTATTAAGATTAGGTAGTCGAGCTAGGATTTCGTAACCGTTGTCCATAATCAACAGGAAAGTCACCAGGAAAGCCTTATTAAACTGTCCCTCGACGCATTTAAGCAACTTGACACCTGTTTCAAAAGTCAGCATTGGAGCGACTCGGCGATCGGCCACCTATGTTGTACAAGTCGTTTCCGCATTTCCGATAGATTTAACAGAGGTTTCCGATAGCGCATTAATAGTTTCTCGGGTTGGGGATGTTAGATCAATACGAATCCGCTCATAAGCGGGACATACAACCAGCGATATCGTTGATATCGGAATAAATCTTCTTTGATAGGTTCTTCTAATAGATTATTTAGCTGCCGAGCCAGCCACCCCTCGATCAATGAGAAATTACCCGTTCCATCCTCCATAGCTCTCCAAAGGGGTATGGCCGATGCTTGGGGCGTCTGGGTTCTCGTTCTCCTTGAGCAAGGGAGGTGGCTTGGGAACGGAAAATCCTGCGTGAAGTGCGGCCTTCTATCAAGGATTTCATCCTTGTGTATTGTGCTGAAGGTTTCCAAGGTTAAGGGGTAATTGTGCTATGTGCCTGCCTAGGTAGTGTTGGTGCGCCACACCCGACAATAAATCCACCCCTGGCTCGAGTTGGATAAGTATTTCTTGTATGGTGTGCCCATTAAAAAGGTACAAAGATACAAAATCCGTGAGCTCTATGCTCCTTAAACCCCTACACAGCTAGGAGATCAACAAAGCATCTCGGTAGAATCTACTCCGTACCTGGGAGAAATATGACAGCACAGGACAAGCTCATCCATGGATCCATGGCATTCTGCACGATGTTTTTGCAAAGGGGCCTCAATATCCCCAGATGTCCTTCCTTTGTAACAGATTTTCGACAATATAGCCGCCCATACTGAAAGTTCCGTAGGTTATTTGCTACCCAATCTTCCGATACAGTGCCTTTAGTGCCTCCCGATCTTCTTCATCACATGTTGGCCTTAGATTTTTTGCCATTCCCGGGTGGGTCGATCTCCCCTTCCAAGTCGGAATCCTATTGGGTCGCAGATTGGCTAGCTATTACAGAAGAAAATACCGACAAACATTGCTTTATGCTTGTCAATCAGTCATCTCTCAGTCACATGGTCATAATCCACGGTGTTGAGGTAGAGTTTGTGCACGTGCTCTTTCACCCGTGGGTGTGGTATGATGAACTTGAAAGCCTCGCAACTTCCCTCCTCGTTGTACAATGAGATAGTGTGGAATATATATCTGCTTGCAGAATTACATAGCATCCGATTTGTTATAAGCTGTAGACATACGAGGGATCGCACTACATGTTTATGTACACCATACTCCGTAGTTAGTTAGAATCAATATCCTAAAAACATAAAAGGTTCTGACAGTTCGAGCACTAGTTCGCACTAAGATGTAAAAAAAATTAAGCAGCTTCCAAATATAGAGTAGTGTATTAGCAGGGATGTACAACATGGTAGAGTTTGCACGTCCGTACTCCGTACTACGTACTTCGTATAACAAGGACCTCCTTAATATATGTTGGACATGGATGTTGCAAAAATAATCCTTGTCTAGCGCGGTCTCTTATCTCCAACCTATCACGCTGAAATAGCAATTGATACTCCGTATAAAGGCAACCAATTCCTTCAAATTCAGGGTCTATCTCGTCATCTCTAAAATAATACAAATCAAAATTATTACTATGCTTATCTCTCCGCTGACGAACGCATATCCAATAACCTTTGGTACGTACCTAGGTAGACCCAGGATTGAAGCACAACCACCTATCAGAAGATCCCCCGAACCCGCCCCATCGGTGATTCCCCGAAAAGCCCCGATTTTATTCTTCTGGTAGGCCAATGGACATCAATTTATAACAACTACAGAAGGTTTATCTTTGACTTTCTCCGCCACCTCCTGCCGTTTTGCCTCGTATCTTCCTCGGCTGTAGAATATATCCCCTTCCTCCAGGTCCCCCCCCCGGAGGCTCCTTTTGCTTGTACATGTTTTTCTCCTAGCTGTTCTGGTGCTATGTGGGCTCTATAATTGAACGATACCGCTTCCACCAACAACGATGTCCTCATGTCGCTTGCCGACAACCCCGGCGGCAATTTCAGCCTCGCTGATCGCTCCGACGATGGAAAATTCTCGGAGCGTACTATAGTCGCCTGTTTCATCGCCATTGCCTGGTACAATGCCTTGGAGTTGATCGTTCTGTGCTTCACTACCTTCAGGCGATATGGCGGGTGCTATTTTTGGTGTCTTCTCCTCGCCTCCTTCAGTATCATCCCTTTTGGTCTCGGATATCTCCTCATCATCTTCAACGTATACAACAACATGTTCCCCGTGGCGATGGAGCTAGTTGCTTGGGTCGGGATGGTAACAGGCCAGTCGCTGGTCCTCTGGTCTCGATTACATCTTGTCTGCCACAGCCCAACCGTCCTCCGAGCCACTCTCACCATGATCATCGTCGATGCGATAATTTTACACATCCCCGGTTCCGTCCTCGAACTCGGCAGCCATTCAAACAAATTCTTCCTCTTCACAAACGGGTTCAACATCTTCGAGCGCATCCAATTGATCGGATTCTCCATACAAGAAATTATACTCTCTGTCATCTATTCCTGGGAAGCTGTGCGACTACTGAATCTCCGCCCAAGAGGCCACTACCGAGGCACCCTGGTCCAGCTCCTGATCGTGAACGTAGTCATGATCATGATGGACGCAGCCATTATCGGAGTACAGTACTCCGGCCTATTTGATATCCATGTCACTCTCAAGGCAATGGTCTACAGCATCAAGCTCAAGCTGGAATATGCGATCCTGGGAAAATTGGTACACATCACCGAGGTGAGTGGCAGCAACTCCGCCCCGACGGACCTGTCAGATTTCGTGGATCTTTCTTTACACCATGCCCGCACTACACAACCGGATAGCGATCTGTTCGCAGATAATCCAGAATACGGCCCGCACACTCATCGCAAGCGAGTGTCCTCCAAGGGCTCATCTACTGACCCGCTAAGAAGGAGTATCTCCGATGCCCAGACTCCGGTCTCGAACTCGGACTGATGATTCCACATGTAAATAACGACTGAGATGAATATGTACATAAAAAAACTACTCAGTATATAATGCACGACATACACCTTACTCCATCTCACCAATTGAGTCATAAAATGTCTCACCTAAAATGAGGGGAAATTGGTGGCCCCTCATCTCGCATCGTCGGGCACCGCCGCGAACATCATGATATCAAATCGAGCACGATGGAACGACCCATGATCTCCAAACCCACCGAACCCACTCAGATATTCCCTCCGACCCATCGACCCACCTATACTCAAATCCACAATCCAAAGCATACCTCGCAATGACCACCCCCAACCCAACCCCTCTAATCCTTCTTACGTGACACCAACTCACCGCCGTACCCCACGCAGTCCTAGACCATCAAATAAAGCACAAGACCTACGCAAAAAGCGACCCTTCGAAGCAATCCTCCTAGCCCCGAACTCCCCCTCGCACGTGCGACACGCGGAAAGCGAGCTCGCGCGTAACGTAGCAGACAACTACTATTGGGCGTACCTGGCTTTAGAGTAGGCGTTGCGGGAGGTTATTGGTGTTGGGGATCCGGAGAACTTGACGTTGGATTTACCTTGTCGACGGGTTTTTGAGAGGGGGCAGAGTGTGGTAGATTATTGGGCCGTTGGTTGAGGAGTTAGAAGGGAGGGTTGTGGAGGATAGTAGGAGGTATTAGGGGAGGGCTAGAGATTATGTAGACATGGCTGGGTATGTTCGGTGCATTATGACGACCTAGGTGTTTACACATATAGTAGTGGACCTTGGAGTAAGTTGGGGGTTGTGTTGTGTAAACAATGTATGTCTTGTAGCCAGGTGTTGGTGTTGGCGGATGATAATGTGATGATTACCACCTACAGCCATGTGATGAAGAACATGTTATGAATTGCTCTGTGAGCGTCACATACTTCAAAATCCCACTGCCTCGAAAGTTTCTAGCAATGTCAATCTCTTCAAGAAACAGATGCAAGGACTCGAGTCCATCACATGTTGTTGCAGATGCTGGAGAGATGGAATAGCCGAGAAAAGAGATCAGACCGCCCTTCTCTGGCGTCGCGTACAAGCGCCATTAGTGTCCCGATAGAATAGTGGCCGACGATCATGTTCCAGGAAAAGGCCTCCACTGAGATATGATTTGGAATCATTGGCTTTCGTTGTCTTTATGTGAACGCCCTGTTGTTGCACCCGTAATGACATCGGTTAATCAAACTCGATCAAACTCGATCAGACTCAAGATAAAGACTTCAGGAATGTGGAAACTTGATGGGGACACTATTCTCCATCGAGTAAAGAGTGGGTGCACAGCCCCATATAGCTACACCCCTTTCTATGGAGGTGGCTGAAGCTTCATCAAGCTCGACCGACCTTGTAGAATCGTAACCCGGACCTTGAGCGTTCAGCAAGTCAAGATTAATGGTGCACGCACCACTCATAAGGCTAGAAACATGAATCCAATCGAGTATCGTCTCCCTTATGTCACATTGAAAATCCGAAGTGTTGACGTCAAGTTGAGCAGAGTCTGATATCGTGGACCCACATGGACCCATGGATGATGATGGAGCGCGTGTGCCAAGACCCGGATCTCGTCAACCTTGGAAGTTTTGTAGATCTTGGGGGTAAACAGGACAAGAATAGTCGGCCGCGTTTGCGGCCTTGTGATATCTTTTTAGTTAATCTTTTTGGTTTTCTTTTTGAATGTCTTTCTAAATGTCTTTGTTTTGAATATTTTGCTGCTCATCTCAGATGTATAGATAGACGGCAGAAAAGGGCGGAGGAAGGCTTAATCTGTGAAATGGAGTTTTCTATGTATAACTTTGGATTTGATGGGATTTCTAGATTTAGATTGGAAGCTGAAACTTTAGCGTGGAAAAAGTGCTAGCCTTATGGATATTATGAAGTGGATGAAGTGGATGACGTGGATCTGGAGCTGGGTACGTTGCACCTACAAAGTATGTTGTATGTGGAGGTTAATATGACCTTACAAAGTACATATGACACAACGTATGTTGCGCCCAAATCCATTATAGTCAAATATACTCCGTACTCCGTACTCCGTACTCCATACTTGAAATTGTTCTAGGCTAAAATGCAAGACTGGGAGGGAGCAGATGTCCGTGTTCGTGGCCAAAAAAGCTATGCCACGACAGAATGACGTCAAGTGCCGATCACCATAGAGCTCTCCGTTTAGGTAACACAGTCAATTTTGCCCTGATGCTCTCTCTCCTTGTAGGATCATTGCTGGGTTAGGGTTCCCTCTCCCCTGCTCATCATAATGGCGCTATGTCCCTTGGTCTTTTATATTCCATCATTCCTTCATGAAAATTTCTTCCATATTTTCCTTCATTCCAGTGATACCCCTTGTTTTGTCCCTACACAGGTTCAATAAATAATTAATTCCCAGTGAGTGACCCTTGTTTGTCATAAATGCAAACAGAACCTGGAGAGCCTCTAACCCTTTGCTTAGTTCATACATAATACTCTAGCTATCTCATCAATCCCCTCATCATTGGTCTTTGATACATACTCCATCATGTCTGTGAACGTCCCCACCAATTCCAAGCAGAAGGAAAAGGTATGTGTGACAAGGCGACCGCCAGTGTAACCACGGCCACTGACAGAGAATCCCTCTAGGATATCAACCAGAAGCTCCAATTTTTTGGTATCTACCATGGTAAGTCAAGCGTTGAGTCCCTCCCCAATTGAGCATTGCCATACTAACTGTCTCTACTATAGCCTTCAAGAACAGCAAGCTCCCTTCGGTCCGTCTGAATTCTCTTGCGCCGCCTCTGGCCTTGCTACAGATGCTAACTAGATCTCTTCCTCCCACAGAACAAGCAATGCGACATTGCTTTGAACTCCGCCTTGAACTCCAAGGCCCTCTCATCTCCATCGAAGGAACTCTCATCCGACGGAAGGATCCTTGTGGCAGATCTGCGCAATGTCATTGACGCAGCTAAGAAGATGCTCTTGGTCAAGAACGAGGGTGAACTCCTGCAAGACTTTGTCTGGAAAGCCCAGAAGATTTCAGGCGATAATATCGATGCCAAGCGCCCTGGGCTCCCTGTCGACAGGGAGACCGGTCAGCAAGATGCTAGCAAGGCTATTGATGGTCTGAAGACCCTGGGCACACTCATGATTACCAACGGAGAGTTTAGAAAACTATGTAAGTAAGCCTCCGTTTGTAGAACACTCACATTTTCTAATAACACGCAGTGAGCGATGCCATGACCCTTGGCAAAGACATTGCTGCCGATGCTTCTCAAAAGGCCGCCAGCCAGGTCCGCCCCTCGGAAGAGGAACTTTCGCAGATCGACCAAGCTGCAGAGGACAACGTGTGGCACGAGAAGCCCAATGTCTCCAAGGATGACCTCAAGTCCAAATTCAAGAAGAACAAGGCTGTATGTATCCTTGATGCGCCCTAAATTTGCACATGCTGACATTAGCTCAGGAGAAAGGAAGCGCTGCTTCTGCTTCCGCTGCGGTTACCGAGGAACAGACTGGCGTTTCACCGCAGGACAAGAAGAAGGAATATTCCGAGAAGACCAAGAACTACTTGTCCGAGAAGATTCCCAAGGAGCGCCGCGAGCAGACCGTCTGGCGCCTGAAGAAGATGATCATCGAGATCCAGGGCCATGCTGACTGTAAGTCAGCCAGAATTTTGACATCGATGGCGAAGATCTCTAACAAATTATGCAGATCAGCAAGCCGTTGAGACTTTGTTGAGCATGGCTGAGCAATACGCCGGACACACCAAGGATGTCTCCAAGCAGGGCGGTAGCTCTGCCCGTGACGTCCTGAAGACCGACAATGTTCAGGCTGTCCAGTACAACTTGCGCACCCTTATCGAGCGCTTTGCCAACTACACCTCTCTGGATAGCTTCTTCGAGTCGCTAAACACCGTTTACCGCGATGCTGAGAAGGACCCCGAACTCCGAAACTGGTTCACCAACGTCGACAACTTGATTCGGTATGTGTTATGAAAACCTTCCCCCAGAATAAAAGCTGACCGGACATAGCAAATCTTTGCGCGAGCAGGGCTTCATCATGGAGGACGGATGCAACCGCCAGTGGAACGAGATTTATGATAAGGGCCGTTACCTCCTGCGCGAGCGTTACCGCGGTCACTCCGATCGTATTGTGGACGAGGTCAAGTTCTTGGCCGACCAATTCGAGAAAGACCCGCAAAACCAGACTCTTGCCGAGTCCTTCCAGAAGCTGTTCAAGGATCTGGGCCACGACGCCAGTGGCAAGCCTACCTTCAAACCGGATCTCCTTCGGGATCTCCGCGATGTCATCATTCCCGGGATTTTCGAGAATGTCCGCTACGTCCCAATCCCCCGTATCGAGGTTTCAGATCCCATGGTTGATGTTGTTGTCGAGAACCTATGCCTTGAGGGTGACAACCTGATGCCCAACGTTGTGGAGTTCGGCAGCGACAACTACTTCCGTTGGGGCCGCAAGAAGATTACCAGCAAGCGTGATAATAAGATCATGATTTCCATGTCTGGCATCCAGATGGACCTGCGCGATGTCAGCTACTACATCAAGAAGAAGGAGGGCTTCCCCTCCATCACCGATCGTGGTATCATGGACATCTTCCTCGGTGGTGAAGGTCTCAGCGTCAAGATCGCTGCTTCCACCGCCCAAAAGGATGACAAGGAGCACTTCTTCAAGCTGGACAGGGTAAATGTGAGCATCAAGAACATGGACATCAAGCTGAAGAAGTCCAGCCACAAGCTGCTCTTCAACACCTTCAAGCCCATGCTGTTCCGCGTGGTCAGACCTGCTCTACAGAAGGTGGTCGAGGGCCAGATCCGCGAGGCCTTCAGAAAGGGCGACCTCTTCGCCAAGGACATCCACACCGAGGCCACGCGTGCCCAGCAAGCCGCTCGCGAAGATCCCGAGAACGCGCCCACAATCTTCTCTCGCTACGTCGATGCCGTCCGAGCTCGCACCCAGGCCAAGGCCAAGCAGGTCGAGGGCGTCGCCAA